GGACACTTATCGTCGAGATTCGGGGCATGAGGGTACTGTAAGTTCGAGCTTTTGATTTTATGTGTAAGGAGTATGCATTAAATTCATCGTATTTTACAATTTTTAACTCAAACAAAGAAGCCTAAGCGTACAAATCAAAGCCTACAAAAAGTGGCCAACGAGCCTAAGCGTAGTATCGTAAGTCTAGAAGCCTAAGCCTAAAAACCTAAGCGTAGAAACCTAAGCCTAGAAACCTAAGCCTAGAAGCCTAAGCCTAGAAGTCTAATCTTAGAAGCCTAAACCTAGAAGCCTAAACTTAGAAGACTAAGCCTAGAAGCCTGAGCCTAAAACCCCAAGCCTAGAAGCCTAAGCCAGAAAGGTTTTTTCATTACCATAATTGTATAGTATTCTTCAATATCATACTCCTACAGTACCAACTCTTCATCGTACTGTACAAAACAGGAAATTTTGTTATGCGAAATCATTTCCGCATCATCGGCCGACCAGGTATTAATACCCATTGTCGATGGCCTCGGAATAACAGGTGTCGAAAGTCAATCGTATCTAACACCATTATTATAGTGAACTTCTATTGTCTTTCGAGATTTGGATTACCTCAACAATGACCCGGCTGTCATGGCTGGCGGAGCAAATTGGCGGAAGGAAAATTTGTAAAACGACTTTTTATAGATTTTGAGACGTTTTGTCGTCGGAATGGACTTTGTCATAGGTATGACATTTTTGAGTAAAGATTTTTAGTATGTTACTATAAAAATGCACATTTAAAAACCCAAAATAAGATTGAGAACGCAAAATCCATCTTAAAAATCAACAGCAAGCCTTGAAAACAAATTTAAGCCTAAAAATAACAAATTAAGCCTAAAAATCAAAAATGGAGACTAAAAATCACAAATTAGGCCTAAATATCATAAGTTACGCTAAAAATCAAAAATTAAGCCTAAAAATCAAAATTAAGCCTAAAAACAAAAGTAAGCCAAAAAATCACAACCTAGACCTAAAAATCAATTCTATGCTTAAAAATCCAAAGTAAGCCTAAAACTATAGAAAAATAAACCAAAAAAGTCAAATTAAGCCTAAAAATCACAATATATTCCTCAAAGTCAATCTCAAGCCTGCAAATCAAATATAAGCCTAAAAACCGCACATTAAGCCTAAACATTCCGTTATACGCCTACAATTCAATCATAAGACTAGAAACGAATTAAACCAAAAAATCTCAAATTAAGGCAGAAGCACATTAGGCTTATAAATTAAAAATATCAAACATATATCAAAAAATAAGCCTAAATGTTATCATCACTACCCCCACATCGACAATCACTCCTCCCCCACCCAAACACCAAGTTGTAGCACTTTACTTTGAACGAACAACAACATATTGCACAACACACTCTTGTAATCCTCGAATTCACCCCCAACGACCTGTCGTCTCTCTGTATTTCACACTCTGTCTTGCATTTTATACCATTAATTTATGTTTTTGAAGAGATTGGTTCATTAAAGCGCTGTTTAAAGAAGAGTGCCGCAAAATCTCCTCTTGCAAGTCCTCCAACTAACACCCGCTCAAGTGCAAATATTCTCGGAATGAAGTGGAGAGAGAGAGAGCACGGTCTCAAGGAAATCATCAACAAATCACAACGCTTCTTCACAACTTCATCATTTTTAAGAATTACGGGTTTTATGTATAATACAAAGATAATTCGAAGCCACCAAGCCAACAATCATAAGCCTTGAAGGCTAAGCCTAAAAGCCGAATCCAAAAGACTGCGCCGATAAGCCTAAGCCTAGAAGCCTAAGCCTAGAAGCCTAACACTAGAAGCCTAAGCCTAGAAGCCTAAACCTAGAAGCCTAAGCCTAGGAGCCTGAGCCTAGAAGCCTAAGCCAAGAAACCTAAGCCTAAAAGCTTAAGATTAGAAGCCTAGGCATAGAAGCATAAGCCTAGACGTCTCAGTCCATAAAGCAAAGCCTAAAAGACTAAGCCAGAAAGGTCAAGCCCAAAAGGCTAAGCGTAGAAGCCTAAGCCTAGAAGCCAGAGCATAGAAGCTTAAAGCAAAGAAGCCTAGAATCCTAAGATTATAAGCATAAACTTAAAAACCTAAAACTAAATATATTATAAGCCTAGACGCCTAAGGTTAGAAGTTTGAGTTCAGGAGCCTTCAAAGTCTAAGGCTGCAAGCCTAAACCTAGAAGACTAAGTCTAAAAGTGTAAGCCTAAAAAATCAAAACGCAAACACCTAACCCAAAATCCTAAGCCAAGAATATTAAGCTCACCATGCCAGTCTACATCTAAAAGCCTATACCAAAATCAAAAGCCAAGTTATCATTCCGCTCGAACAACCTTATACGACAATTTTTTAGTCATCCAACAGCGACAAATTAGACGGGAACTTCTTTAATCCGTCGCGCCTATTACGCGACTCTCGGCCAACAAATTACATTAAAGACCTCGGCCACACGCTGGTTTTATATGGTTGCGCAACAACTTTCTTTACATCTGTTTTACACATTTTTTCAAAATTTTTGAAAATGGCAAGAACTTTCTTTACAGAACAGAAAATAGCAAGAAGTTTGTTAACAAATCCATAAATAACAAAACTTTCTTTCCACGCTAAAAAAAGCATAAGTTCGAGTACAAAGAATAAGCCTACCAGGGCTAAAACTACTAAGCTTACAGTTTTTAAGCATAGGTCTATGCCTACTGAACCTCATCCATTAAACCTAAGACTAAGCCTAGAAGCCTAGCCCTAAATGTTTAAGCCCAGAAGCCTACTCCTCAAAAAAATGTTCGACTAACCTTCAAATTTTTAAAAAACAACACCTTTGACCCCATCCCACCCAAGCCCAGCCCGTTTTACGCCTAGTTTGACGTCAATGTGGCATACAATAATAATATAACCGTGCCAGACGGAACGGCGCCTTTTAGCACATCGTTCTCACATAAATGGCGTTTTTTTCGGATCGCGCGAGAAAGAAAAGAAAAAACCACAACTTTTTAACTTATGCCTCTTTTTATGGGAATATAAATTTGCATTTTTGTTTTTGGGTCAAGACTGACTTTTTTTAAAATTTTTAGTGTCAGGGACAGTTTTGAGTATGGTAGTTGTACTGTCTTTTTGTGGGAGGTTGGATGTGGCAGTACTATATGTTTAAGACCATCAATGTATAATAGTTGGACCATGGTTTTGTCACAATTTGAGTACGGTAGTAGTCAGCACCGGACAGGTAATTTCAGCCTAAAGAAGGTTTTCCAAAAACCAACAGGGGGGGGGAGGTCAACGTTCAAGATTTTTCAAAAAAAATTTTGGAAAAGTTAAGGAGGAGCAAATGGCATTTTATATAAGTCTTGATAGATTTAGACTGTTATTTGCTCCCCCTTCCAAAAATTTAGTTGAAAAAGATTGAACGTGATCCCCCCCCCCTATTTATTATTAAAAAACATCCTTTACACTGAGATTGCCTAATCGGCACCTACTATTAACATACACAAAATGTCAAAAAAACAAAGTACAACTACCATACATTGACTATCTCAAAAATATAGTACCACTATATCAATACGAGTATAAAAAGTACTACTATATCAGTACATCTCTAAGTAGTACAACAATATCAGTCAGTACGACTATAAATAGTACTACTACATCAGCGCGACTGCAAGCAGTACTACAATATTTTAATTTTTAACTTTAAAAAATTCACAATAGCACACAAAAACAATGTCATTTCACTCCAACACTACTAAAAAACTACTTGAAAAGCCGATCAATCCAAAACTTTTTAGCTCCATTACCTGACTTATTACTTTTATTATTACAAAACAAAAAAAACCAAAAAAAGACTGTACAACCGCTGTTAAGCTTTAAAAAACTTGAATAAGTTAACAATTTGAAATTTGATGGCAGTGAAAATGAGTAGGTATAAAAATCGTGTGTTATAACTTATAAGGACTACAAAATTTAGCGAAACAATAAAAAAGTAACAAAAAACTTTTTAAAAAATTCCTGACAAAAAGAAATTAGACTTTAGGCTATAATTCTTGTGATTTAGACAAAACTTGCTTTTAAAAAATTAATAACAAATTTTAAAAATATTTTCGAAAATAAATATGAAATTTAACAAAATTTTTTTAAATATAAAAATAGCTAAAAAATTGGAAAAAATACAATTTAAGAGGTCTACCGAGACAAATGATTATCAACTAGGTAAATGCTGTAAAATGTACAAATTTGGAAGAGATACAGTAAGTAAAACTCCTGTATAACAAATCGCTCGAGGATTTTAAACTTGTTCGTTATCAAGAAGTTTCGTTCTACAAGAGTTTTAAACTTACTATGTAGTGTTAGCTGGAGGTTTAAAAATTGTTCATTATACAGGAGTTTCGTTATAGAAAAGCTCGTTATACAGGAGCTCCACCGTATTATATAAGGAAAACGCTTTTGAAAAACTAACTTTACATCATTAAAGCAGGCTTGGCCCAGGGCAAAGTGCACGGCACCCTGCCCTGCTTTTCAAAAGCGTTATCATTAGATAATACATTGAAACTCCTGTATAACAAACTATTTCATAACAAAATCTCTGTATAAATATCAACTTTTAAATCTTCAGCTAACACTACAGAGTGCATTTAATGCTCCTGTATAACGAAACTCCTCTATAACGAACAAATTTAAAATCAAAGCGCAATTCATTATACAGGGGTTCCACTGTAGAATATCAAAATACAGTAGAACTCCTGTATAGTGTAGTATAAAACCACAGTTTTTATGGCACATGGTAAAACACCTTAATTTTTGAAGTCTTAAAGACAAAAAAAATTTAAAAACAAGGTTTTTCCTGTAGCGTCACAAAAGTTTTGCCACTCTTGTACATGCTTATCATAACGACAGGGCTTGTTCAGGCCCCAAGGACATTACTTTTAGACTTTAGACTGAGTTTTAACTTGTTTTAGACCTTAGACTGTTATTACTTGTTTCAATGTCATAACCGATAGCTAAGACATTTTAGTGAGTTTTCAAAAACTCTTCCAAATGTTGGCCAGGTCGGATGGAAATGGTACCAAATGACTCAATTTGGTCCACCTCGATGGCGTGAGCCTTGTGCAGCTCCAGAAGAGCGTAGAACTTTTGGGCGCGGGTTTTTTGTGTTGCTTTGTTTGAGAGAAGATCGTCGAGGATTATCTTCAAATAGGGAACGGTCAGATTTTGTTACTTTAATCAATATTTTTTATTTTTTTCGAATTTAATTTTTAGTGATATTGCAATGCATTTTTTCTTTTTGGCAATATTTTTTTTTCAATTTTTGAAAAAAATGTGGTATTGTTCATTTTTATTTGTATTATCGCAATTTTTGACTATTTCACTTCAAATTTTGAATTTAGCCCTTATCTTTATGCAAATTTTTCATTATTTTAACTTTTTCAAATTTTCTTTTAATTTTTAAAATTTTTGAAAATTTACCCCTCCCTACTCAAAAAACTAGCTACCCTACCTTAACTTAATCTACCCTACCCCACCCTACCTTAGCTTAACCTACCTTAACTTACCCCAATTACAGTAAAAAACCCTTATCACTTCCACTACAATATCAAACTAATGTACATTACAGTAGCCCCCACTTCCTACTGCAACACTTTTATGACTCATTTCGTATTTAAAAAACATTACATTTTGCTATTGTTATCAAGAAGAAATATTCAAATTGAATACCAAACCCGTGTATTGTGTTGTATTCACAAAAAATTGGTTCAAATGCTTCGATTACGGTAGTTTTTGGTGTGACTCACAAGTACCGTAACTGATTATTAGTAATACATTGTAACGTCCGTGGTATTTGGAAAAGGACTTTCTTCAACGGATAATTTTTTAATGTAGTAGAAATTACAACGTAAGTCTACGCAGCCCAAGTCTAGTCTATTAATTCTAAGTCTACTAAGCCTAAGCCTAGAAGTTAAGCCTGGAATCCTAAGCCAAAAAGGTTACGGCTTAGAAAACTATGATCAGAAGTCTAGGCTCAGAAGACTACGTCTAGAAGCCTAAGCCTCGAATCCTAAGCCTCGAAGCCTAAGTCTAGAAGCCCAAGTCTAAGTCTCGAAGCTTAAACCCAGAAGCCTAAGCCTAGAAGCCTAAGTCTAGAAGCCTAAGCCTAGAAGCCCAAGCCTAGAAGCCTAAACCTATAAGCTTAACTCTTTTAAGGCTTAGAGTACAAAGACTAAGCCTACCAAACCTAAACCTCATAAACCTAAGCCTAACAAGTCTAAGTGCAAGAATAAAAAATGCAAAATTTTGAAACCTTTTCCTATTGTTTTCAATCTTGGGAATGACATTTAAAATCCCGTTTTGTTTTGTTGCATATCCGATAATGGGAATATCATCCACGCCCGAGAGAGACCGGTCGAGAATGAATCACGGCCCAAAAAAGGGCCTGGGAAAGTGCGCGGGAAAATGCAAATCATAAGGATTTTTTTCAAATTATAAATTTTTTTCATATTTGAATTTTTAGTAGGCTTTGGGTACTGTAGCTTGAACTTAAGAGATTTTGAGCAATTTTTAGCGATTTTTTTTTGAAGTTTAGGTAACAAGTTTTTTTAAAAACGCCATTTTAAATAAGAAATTATCAAAAAATGTCATTTTAGGTAACAAATAATAAAAAACGCCATTTTAGGTAACAAAGAATTAAAAATTGCCATTTCAGAGAACAAATTTTTCAAAAAATTCAATTTTAGGTAACAAGTTTAAAACTTACATGATTTTCATTTGACTTTAGTTTAGATGATATTGTCCGTAGTACTCCCAATGTTCGTTTACTGAAGACGGTATCGTCACTATCGACCGGTTCGTCATCTTCTTCCTCTTCTTCGTCATACTTCTGAAAATTCAATTTTTTTTAAATTACAGTAACCAAAATTTTCAAATTCTAATTATTGTTTTACAGTAACTTAAAAACAATAAATATCTACATACAGTACACTGCCATACCCTACTCTTCGCAACCATGCTGTACTCTACGCTGCCTACCGTACTCTATCCTACTCTATCTTACCCAACCCTGCCCTACTCGACCCTACCTCTCCCTAACATAAACTCCCTTTTCTCATAATACAGTAGTCATATTCCTACCGCTTCTCATAGTATAAAGTACAGGAACCTACTAAAAGCTACAGTATTCTAGATTACTACACAAAAATCGAAAACTCAACAGTTACAGTCGCCTACAGTCCTCCAAACCCGCTATTCTAATTTATAGTAACCTACAGTAAATCATATAGTCGAAATCCCAAAAACCACAGTATCCCCCCCCCCCCCCCACCAATAAACCCTAATTAAGCCCATCTTATTACCAAATCCCGTTTCTCATAACGAGCTTCGTATAAGGTCAACACGGTGCTAAAGTACGACCCAACTATAATAATATTTATGGTATTTGGTTTGATTGCGCAACCTTATTACTCATTTCGGCTTTGATTTGTGCCGGCCTGATATCCGTTCGAATTTGTTTCGCCCATTGTTCTCCAATTCCCGGCTTTTGTGCGTCGGAAGTGCCGATACGCCGGGAACAGGTAATGGAATTATAGTAATATTGGAGATTGGTATGGCATTGCAAAACTTAACTTTTTTTAATTTTAAAAAAATGAAAAAATTAGCCAAACCCCGAAAAAAATTTTTTTTAGATCACCACTTCCTCCAAAAAATTTACTCCTCTCAAAAAACTCAATTTTTAAAAATGAAAAAAAAACACAAACTTAAAAAAAACATTACCTCCCCCTCCCAAAAAAAATATTACCCTGCCCACTCATGCCCACGTCAAAAAACGTGAAAAAACACCTAGTTAGAACTAAGTTATTTTATAAAATACTATTTTTTCAAACTTACAAGTACACACCGTTCTCACAAAAAAATCACACCCCCCCCCCTTCTCAAGAAAATTACCCCGCCCACCCATGCCCAGGTCAAAAAAAATTCAGAGACAAGTTGCATACTAAAATTAGGTTTTTTATCAAAGCCATACCTTAATTGGAGATGCTTTGCCATTCGACTCAGGTACTCCATTTTCTTTCACTTCATCTTCATCATTATACTCATCATTCTGGAATAGCGAATAGTCTTGGATTTGGGCCGGAAAGTCGTCATTGGTGGAGTCATCGGCCTGAAAAAATGTGTCATAATTTTTAAAATATTTGTCCTTATAGTCCGTATTTTACCACTATTTTAAAAATAATTTCATTTTTAAACACCCCTACCCTACCTCAACATTACTCAAACTTACCCTATCTCCCCCCCCCCACCCTATATCTACCGTTACCCCTACATCCGCCACCCAGCCCAAACAAGACTTACATTATCATCCTCATCCACAGCATCCGTCATTCCGAGTTGTGTTCGAATGTCAATTGCTGATTGTCCTTCAGTTACTACGAGTTTTGGTACCAAGTGTTTTTGGTAAATCTGAAAAATTTAACAAATTTTAATAAAATTAATAAAAAAGTTTAATAAAAAACAACACAAAATTCACTAAAAATCAATTTTTCGCTTCATTTTGTTACCTAAAAATGCATTTTGCAGTAAAATTGTTATCTAAAAATGCATTTTTACTAACTTTGTTACCTAAACATGACTTTTTTTACTAATTTTGTTACGTAAAAATAATTTTTTTACTAATTTTGTCGCCTAAAAATTCATTTTTCACAATTTTTGTTACCTAAAAAAAATTTTTTTCATCAATTTTGTTGCCTAAAAAATGCACTTTTAACTTATCTTGTTACCTAAAAATTCATTTTTCACTAACTCTGTTATCTAAAAATTCAAATAACCTACCTTAAACAAAGTCTTGTTAGTGTACACATCTGTAGCCGGATACAGATATATTCTCTCCATAACTCCATTTTCCTTGATCTTCATCAATCTCTTGGTAGGTGGTGCGAGCTCCAAGGGTACCATTGTGTCACTGTAGTCGCTTAAACTGTCTCTAATCTCATCGGCCGAGATTACTGTAACATCGTCCCATACCAACTTTCGCCTTCTTTTCTGCCGTTCCTTCAAGACTATAGTACTGGCCGGTACCAGTGGTTCTAGTACCAGATCGTCGTCTTTTTGGTCCACTTCCATAACATCACCACTGTCATAGTCATCATACCCAATGTGGTTCTCGTTCTCGTCGGATGGGGCTAATGAGTCCTCTTTTGGTGCGCTACATTCGGATTGCATGTCGTTCTCGTTCATGTACGATACTGAGCGACGTGCTTGCTCATTATCTGTAAAAGTAAAGATATTTTAAGAAAATTGCAAGAACTTTCTTTACAAAGCTAAGGCTTGCAAAAACTTTCTTTACGAAACTAAAACTCGCACTTTCATTAAATTTGTTACCTAAAAACGTATTTAAAAAAATTTTGTTACCTAAAATTAAGTTTAAACTCATTTTTATGCCTATAAACCAACTTCCAACCCGTTTTATTACTTAAAAATCCAGTTACTACTCATTTTTAATCGCCAAACTCCCTTACCACCTCCATGACTATCAAACATGCTGCCTTCTCGTTCATTTTTATTCATCAACTCGTAGTTCTTCCTCGTTCTCTCAAACTCCTCATCGAAATTCGAAGCACAATCATCGAACTCATCGTCCAGAAGATCGTCATTCAAAAGACCGGACCCGCCGATCTCGAAATTATCTTCTTGTAGTGTAATATCATCAATTCTGCTTTGCTGCATTGGTGCTGGAGCATAATCAAACTCACTGATATCTGGCATTATCACATCCATTTCGTCAATGAGCTAAAACATTTTTTATTAATAAACTTAATATTAAATAGCTTTAATCAAAATGGCATTTTCAAACAATTTAAAATCAAAAAACGACCAAAAAGTCAAATTTTTGACCAAAAACAAGCCTAAACCTACATCAAGTTCGCTGGTATTCCTCTCCTTCCTCACAGCATTCTGAAGCATGGCTAGCTCAGCACTTCCAGGTTGAAATGCCTGTTTAATCTTGACAAATGCTTCATTACAATCTGCTAGTACGTACTTGGTTTTCTTCGAAAATATTCGCACTATACCCAATAGTAGATGTCCTGTTGTTCGAAGCGACATTTTTGACTGAAAAAACGGTTTTTTGATTACAAATCTTTATATAATTAATTTAGAATACATTATTTTATCTTTAAAAAACATATTTTAGTTGATTTACATCGGTGTTCACCAGTAAATAATGTTATACATCCAAGAAGGTAGTTTAAGATATAACTGTAGCTTATGTTAAATATAACTTCGCAAAAACAGACGATGCTAAGCCTTAATTTTAGGTAAACGTAGAAAATTATCTGCTTTACAAACTCAAACAACTGAATTTTCAAAAATCATCCCAAATTTACAAAAAATCAACAACTTCCGCTGATCACCAACAAGTAGCTACAAGTATACCTTAATCTCAATATAACTTAATGGTAAATCAAGCTAAAATTACCAAACGTCATATAAACTTTGAAAAATAAATCCTTTACATGTTTCATTAAATAATTTATCATAAACAGCCCAAATTTTTTATAAAATCAGCCTATTCCGTCCGAGGCAACATCAATATAGCGATTTCCGAGAAGAAATACCTAAAAACCAACAAAAAAATGTCAAAACACTTACTTTAGGCTGTAGAATCTCGTTGACGGCATTAGATACATCTGTTTCAAATACTTGCGCCTTGGAGAGCTTCCGTTCCATGTGCGCCGCTAGCCATATCTGCGACAATGCGCTCTTTTTGGCTAACACAAATTGAGCGTAAAACATGGCTGAAATAAAATCAAACTTTAATAAATTTACTCAATTTTAAAACGCAACAATATTTTTAACAATAAGATAACATTGCTATGCAAAAAAACCAAAAACCCCATGTTAACATCAAAACTTGACATCAGGTTACTCAAAACGTTTAAATATAAAGATTTAGATATGATAATAACAAAATAATAAATAATATACCTAAAGCAGTTTATAAGAAAGGTTTTTTAAAAAACTTAATACAAAGTTCTGCAAAAGAAAAAAGTTATACATCAATTTATATTATCCATGCCCAAAAGGCCTCATATGGTTAATATAACGTCAAAATCAAGATACAAAAGTAACATAAAAACACGAGTTTTTATTCTACAGGTATTATAAAGTGATATCTATTTGAAAAGTATAAAAATTTAAAGTTTTTCGTTCAAAAATGATGTTATACTTGATGGACATCTATCAAACAGCTTGAAAATTAAATTTCTAATATTTTTAACGCTATGATAAGCAAATTTTTACTAAAAAACTGAAGAAAATTAAATTCTACATTACTTACTGATAACCTTTTTTTTTAATTTTACCAAAATTAACTCGAAATCAAGACGAAATGCCTTGGAAAAAGTGCCAAAAAAGAAAAAAGTGCGGTTTTCGTCCATTTCTCTCGCTTCTCTTCCTCCCTCACGTTCTTTTCTTCAGTCTTCCCCATGGTGAAGAAGGACGCACATCAGTTTTGTTCGATCTCTAGATTTTCAATTTTTCGACGCCGAACAAATTAATTGAGTCGAGAGTGGGAAATACCGTGGTAAATTAGAAACGTTAGAGATTTTTTAGAGCTGCGCACATTTTAAAATTCATGAATTCTGGTACGCACCCGTTTTTGGATGACGGATTTTAGTGTCATGATGACAGGGTTTTGGCCATTGACAGTAAGGAAAAAATTGTTGTAGTTAGGTGTTAAAATGACCATAGGGGCTTAGAAAAAAATTTTATTGTTCACAACTAGTTTTAGGATGACGGATTTTTATGTCTCATCATGACAGGTTCACGGCCGGTGAGAGTAAGGAGAAAATTGTTGTAGTTAGTGTTAGAAAGGTCATGTAAACATAAGAAAAAAAATTTGTTCAAAGTTAGTTTTCGGATGACGGATTTTTCCGTGTCATGATGACAGAATTAAGGCCATTAAGATAAAGAAAAAAAATTTTCAATCTATTGCCATTGCTTATTTATTCAACTGAAAAAAAATAGTGCACAGTTTGTTAGCACTTATAAGAGTTAGTTTTGACAGTGAGCTTGTAGATTTTCGACCAATACTTCGGCAGGCAAATTACCGTGACACAATTTCTGGATTTTATCGTATTTGATACGGCCAATCTTCTTCTGAAATTGCGAAAAGTAACTTTATGATTTTGTGATTTTTGTTTATAATTTATATTATTTTTGGTAATTTGTTCTCCTCAAATTGTCCTCAAACATAAAACTGAAGCAAAACCAATTAAAAACTCTTACTTTATGTTCAGGATGGCAGTGTTGGAAAAAGGCTCTGGTGACTTGTTCATAGCAATCTAGATGTTGATGTTTCTCAGCCAATTCATTGACTATGAATCCGCGACTACTGATGGTTTTTAATACAAGATTATCAATTTTCTGATTAACATTTTCACGTAGATCATGCAGTTTTTGTAATTCTTCTGCTACTTCTTTTGCTTTTTTATAGTTTTTGTTAACTTTGGCCATTTCTAGTTTGTGCTTAAGAAGGTGAAGATCGGATTCTGCGCGAAGGTAGCTGTTTTCAAGAGCACAAGTCTGTTCTGGCTAAAAAGTTTCAGACGATTTAAGACTTTACTAGTAGGCTTGAAAGGGGATTCGCTAGGCTCCGGACGTGGTTGTCGGGCCAAACAGGACAGGACGAGGGTAAAGTTAGAGGTAGGGTTGTCGGTAAAGGCAGGGATAATTAGATACTTACTACAGGCTTTCCAAACTTGTATGGAGTCTCTCCATCGTATAAACCAACCGGCTCTTTCAAAATACTTTTGTCGCCGTACACAGATACAGTACTCTGATGAGTTTTGTTTTTTACATAATTGTATTGTTCCTTAATCGTCAATGCGTCCAAGTCCTCTCTCTCAACCGAATGTTGCCAAGCACATGACATTTCGCCGACTAAATCTAAACGTATGTCACCAACCTTAAAAGAGCTTCCCATTTCAAATTCACTCTCATTCGCTCCAGTGAAGCCAAGAATCCTCCAATCTTCGGGAAGCCAACTAACCATTGAACCAGAGAAGCAGGCGTCCACGTGGTACAACAACTCTTTATACTTTCGTTGCGAGTGCATATGATCGAAAGCTTCCTTGACTTGGTTAGTGAATAAAACATAATCGCCAAACGCTACGAATCCCTGCCCGCCGTGACTCGCATGGTACAAGAAAACACGGTCTTTTTCGGTCGAGTTTAGTACTGGCCCAACACCGGTATCGTCGCCCTTCAAAACCTTCAAAAAGTTGTCGACATTGTGGTTGGCACCGCTGTATGAAACTTTGCAACCTTTACGAACATCTGGGCCGTCAACGCCAAGACGAAGCTCTCCATGCCATGGGTTACTAAAAAACACATTGTTTACCCTTAAAATGGTTTTGTCTTACCCTACTTTGCTCTACATTGCCTACCCTCCCTTACCAGGTTTTACAAGGAAACTTTATTTTATATTATGGTTCCTTACTCTGGGTCATCCTTTATGTCATCCTCTAAGAAGGTTATAATTTTTTCTTCCTTGACGCCATGATGAACCAAAATGTGGTACAATAGGCACACATCGGCTTCACTAAACATGTTGTGAAGTTCGCCGTTGCCCGCTACAAGCACGGCATACACTTCGCCACCGTCTTCATCGTTTTGCTTTAAGAAGTTGCGTAGTACGTTTCTGAATATAGATATAAAGTTTTAAATACAAACGGCAAGGTTGGTTACAACTAGCAGCGTATAGGCCAAAGTCTAGCAAGTGGGTCAAGCTTAGATCGGCAAAGTACTCTTTCAAATTTGCTGTGACCACCTTTCAGCCCTAGGTGTGTCGAAAAACAGCACAGGGCGCCCTGTCCAAAATTTTTAACTGCGTTGGTAAAAAAACTTACGAATGAACGATTCCAACAAGTAATACAATGACTGAAACCAACTTCATGGTTGTTCACTAACTTTGACACACGAATTGTAAGTATCTCATCATTTTATACTATACATAACATTTTGACTGTTTTTAAAACTTAATATTGGCGGAAATTTATAATTTGCTGACCTTTTATAATTAAACAAAGTTTATATGACCAAATGTTAAGAAAAGTATTTTAGTTTGGCTAGTTAATGTTCTGTTGTACAGTTTTGACCTTTTGTCTATTAATGTATTAAAGTTTATTATAAGTCGGAAGTTTTGTAGAAGTCAATGGTACAAATTTTTTGGTTTTTATTTTACTATTCTTTTTATATAGTATTATGTAAATATTAGTTAAGTTAATAATATACAGTAAAACTCCTGTGTAAGTCAGAGTACGATCATTTTTTAAAATTTATTAACAAAAAATGACATGGCATATAATTATTTTTGGCAATGGATTGTTAGCTGGCGTACTAGTTCTTCAGTTGTACCGTTTGAATGACAGAGGTCGTACAACTTGCTGTAGTTAATCTTTCCAATACGCATCTAAAACAACAATTGGGATTAAGCATAAACGTTAAGCATAAACTTCATTACCTGGTGTTCTGGATAACAATGCTTATGGAAGGTTAGACCAAGTTGTTCATAACAGTCCAGGTTAGAAAGTGTTGCTCGTTCTCTGTTATAAAGTTCAAATCCATCTTGTGCCGTTACTTTATTGACAAAACTCTCAATTTTGCGATTTGTGTTGTGGCGTAGATCGTGTAGCTTCTGCATTTCTTTAGTCAGTAGTGTAAATGTATTTGTATCTCTGCTTGCCTCAGCGGCTGCAATTTTGTGTTCCAATGCGTACAAGTCAGCTTCTTGCATTATTAATGGGTTACTTTCACAGCTGTATGGCTAAAAAATTTTTATTTTTGTTGTTGGACTACAAAAATTCATGTCATATATTTAACTTATTTAAGTGTAGTATAAGATTAGGCACCTTGATCGTCAATATGAAGTTTTAATTATTTAAAAATAATCTATACCTCAATGATTCCATAGTCTTGAACGACTGTGCCTTCGTAACCAGAAGCTTTCTCTTTTCCAATTTCTAAATTGCCATATCGTGAAACTGTGCTATAATCATAATTATTTTTTATGTACTCATACTGCTCGTTTAAAGCGTGAATGGTCAAGTCTTTTTGTTCCATAAAGTGTTGCATATGGCATGAATACATGGCAGAAATCAAAAAATAGTGATGATTAGCAAAATAACCAATAGCTTGGGCTTCTTCTGTTGGAGAAGCGGCAGTAAAGGCTAAGATTTTGTATTCTGGAGTCAGCCAATCGCTGAACATGGAGCCAGAATAACAAGCTTCGACTTGGTAGAACATTTCCTTATACTTCTTCTTTTCTTGCATAGAGCTTAGAATTTCTTGCAGTTTTGAAGTGGTTAGACTATCGTTGCCAAACTGTAGTGAATACTCATTTCCGTGACTTGTGTGGTACATGAAAACACGGTCTTTTGAAGTTGATTGTAAGATTGGTCCATTAGTAGTGTCATTTCCTAGCAAAACACGTTCAAAATTTTCAATCGACAGGTCTTTTTCTCTGTACGTAATCTTGCAACCTGGGTAAACGTCAGTGTCATTTGGTTGTGGACGTAGCTCTCCTTGCCATGGGTTTCTTAAAACTTACTGGTTTAGAAATGTTGGCATCAAATTTTATAAAGTTATAAGAATTGGTTACATATAATTTTAATGTTTCATTTATAATAATTTAACTCACCTCGGATCATTAACAGCCAGATCCTCAGCAAAGGTAATGATATTCTCGTCTTTGACACCGTGCTTTCTTAGGATATGATAAACCAAACAGACGTTTGTTTCACTGAACAAGTTCTTAAAACCAGCAGCACCAGCTACCAATACCGCGTACAATTCACCACCGTCTTCTTTGCTGTCTAGGAATTGACGGATTGCGTTGCTGAAAAGAGACCTTGAGTTTTTTTGGTAAGCTTTGCAATACCCAAAGCAGACGTCTTTGAGGCTTCGAATGTTATTTTATGGTTACTTACGGTTCAGCAACAACTAATAACGCAACTAATAGTACAAGATGTTTCATAGTAAAGAAAACAACTTAAGATATGCCGCAATTAGAAACTTTAAAGGATTTTATATTAACGGTTTACGCTGTTTTGATACATTCAAAATGCCATTGAAAAAGGTAGTTTTTATTGATTAAACGAAAGTTCAAAACTACTTTTTTTTTATTTTAAGAGATTTTGATTGTTGATGACATTTGATTCAAAGAATAATGTTGAATGTATGATTAAAATACCAAGTCTACTATGTAAAAAAAGTTAAAGGGCAAGGTACTATTTATATTATCTTACAGCGAAACCTGTAAAATGAGTTGTAGGAGTTGTTATCTAGGTGGTAATTATACTTACTCAGACTCAACGTTTGGGCGATGGCTGACGAAGACGTTTTATTAGTAGAACACAATCTTTAGATTTGTAGGTGATGATAGTCTACTTTTACAAAACCAACTTCCGTGTCGTATAGATTTTGTCGGACAGTCTTCACCACCCTTTGAAAGAAATCGTCTCTAAATATTAGGTTTGAAAAATAAATTTTAAACGACGCTTACTATGCATTTGTCTCATAGTACGTTGAGTTTTACCATTTTCATCTGACCCTCACAGTTACCATACTTAACGTTTCTAGCAACTAGTTTATGTTGTAGTAATTAGTATGCAATGCGACCATTATTGTCCAGCTCGTCTATGTCAACGGGAGTGAGTTCTTCGGGATGTTCGTCTATATTTGCCAACCGCACGAGAGCAGAGTTAATTTTCAAAATGAAAGGAAATTACAATGGCAACCACAATTTTTGAATTTTGTGGATTACTCATAACTGGGTGTGTATAATCAGGTCGAGTTAGTGTGCAATCAATGGGTTTGCGAGTTGTTTTGCACAGTGTGTCATTTTTTCGTTGTTTTATAGTGTTTCTTTTAATACAGTATTAAAGAATGCAATTACAATTAATATTGCAAATTTATTAAGAAAAATTTACATGGTATATAATTAGTTTTGGCAGTGCATGGTTAGCTGCCGTACTAGCTCTTCAGTTGTACCGTTGGAATGACAAAGATCGTACAACTTGTCATAGTTGATCTTTCCAATGCGCATCTAAAACATCAGTTAGGATTAATCATAAACGTCATTACCTGTTGCTCTGGGTAACAATGCTTATGGAAGGTTCGACCAAGTTGTTCATAACATTTTAGTTCAGAAAGTCTTGCTCGTCCTCTGTTCTTAAGCTCAAATCCATCTTGTGCAGTTACTTTCTTGACAAAATCCTTAATTTTGCGATTAGTGTTGTGACGTAGATTGTATAGCTTTTCCAATTCTTTATTCAACTCTGTTACTCTATTTACATCTTTGTTAGCTTCAGCAACGGTGAGTCCGTGTTTCAAACTGTACAAATCAGCTTTTTGCATTGATATTGAGTAGTCTTCACAACTTGATGGCTAAAATTTGTGTTAAGTTACAAGCTATATGTATCATACAATGCACTTGGAACTAAGCTTTAACGAACAACTATTATATCTCCAGTCAACGCCTCACGGGGCTTTTAAAACTCTTGTATAACGAAATTTTTTTATGATGAACCAATTTAAAATTTAAAAAAGCGATTTTTTATACAGACGTTTTATCGTACACCGTGAAAAGTACAGTCTACTGTAATTTTTACCTCAATGATTCCATAGTCTTTAACGACTGCGCCTTCGTAAGCAGACGTTTTCTCTCTTCCAATCTCTAAATTGCCATATCGTGAAACCGTACTATCATCATAATTGTTTTTGATGTACTCATACTGCTCGTTTAAAGCGTGAATTGTTAAATCTTTTTGTTCCATAAAGTGTTGCATTTGGCAAGAATACTTGCCAGAAATCAAAAACCAATCGTCATTGTAAGCATAACAAATAGCTATGGCTTCTTCCGTTGGAGAAGCGGCAGTAAAGGCTAAGATGTTGTATTCTGGAGTCAGCCAGTCGTCGAACATGGAGCCAGAATAGCAAGCTTCGACTTGGTAGAACAGTTCCTTATACTTATTGTTTTTTTGCATAGAACTTAAAATTTCTTGCAGCTTTGAAGTGTATAAATAATCAAGGCCAAACTGTACTATATGGTCATCTCCGTGACTTGTGTGGTACATGAACACACGGTCCTTTGAAGTTGATTGTAGGATTGGTCCACCAGTAGTGTCATTTCCTAGCAAAACACGTTCAAAATTTTCAATTGACAGGTCTTTTTCTCTATATGTAATTTTGCAGCCTTGGTAAACGTCAGGATCGTCAGGTCGTGGACGTAGCTCTCCTTGCCATGGGCTTCTAAAAACGTATGTTTATGTTGGTTTAGTACAGTACTTTGATATGCAGTTTCATTGCTGGCATAGCTTACTCGGCTGCTTACTCACCTCGAATCATTAACGGCCAGATCTTCAGCAAAAGTAATTATATTCTCGTCTTTGACACCGTGCTTTCTTAGAATATGATAAACTAAGCATACGTTCGTTTCACTGAACAAGTTTGTATAATCAGGAGCACCAGCTACTAACACAGCGTACAGTTCACCACCGTCTTCTTTGTTGTCGAGGAATTGACGAATTGCGTTGCTAAAACGAGGCTTTGAGTTTTTTTAGCAGTGATTCTACTGCTACAGTAGAACTCCGTGAATGAATCGTTGGGGAATTACAAAGTTGTTTGTTTTAGAAGTATCACTGTACATTGTTGAGAAATAGTGTTTGTAAAAAACTTACGGTTGTGCAACAGCAAATAACGCTGCTAATATTGCAAGACGTCTCATATCAAATCTAACAGACTGGAATAGGTAGAGGTTCAAAAATTTTGTATACTTTTATAGTAGATGTTGACATTTATTTTTAAAGGAAAAATTTTAAAGATAAGGTTGGTTTAAAAATGTCTTCATTTATCTACTAAAGGTTAAATACTTTTGATTTTTTTATATTAGCTATGACATTTGGTTCAAGGGATGCTTTATTAATTCAAGCAATACTTGATAATGTTATAGGTATGTTAAAACTATCAAATCATTTATGTAAAAAAACAAAAGATCAAAAGATGTAATAAACTTTTTTTATAATACAACGGAACTCTTGTATTAAAAACCCGTAGGGGGGTGTTATCTAACAAGTTGAATGCAATAACCCCGCTTATTAGATTCAAAATTTTGAAGATGTTTGAAGACGATGTTTCTTTATCATAGTATAACACAATCTTTAGATTCATAGGTAATGAAAGTCTACTTTTAGACAAGCAACTTTCATGGCGTATAGGTTTTGTCGAACAATATTTACCATCACTGAAACGCCACTAAACATTTTAAAAATACTGTTTAAACGACGCTTACAATGAATTTGTCATATAGTACGCTGAGCTTTCTAGTTTTTGTCTGACCATTACAGTTTCTACACTTAACCTTTATAGCAACCACTCCACGCTGTTGTAAGAAGTGGCCAATATGACTATTATTGTCCAGTCCGTCAATGTTAACTGGAGTGAGTTCTTCGCGATTGTTGGTTATATCCGCCAACCGGAGGACTATCTACAATAGAACTCCTGTACAATGAACAACTTTTAAATCCCCGTCTACCACTACACAGTGCATTTAAAACTCTTGTATAACTAAACTCCTTTATAACAAACAAATTTCAAGTTCCCAAGCGATTTGTTATACACGAGTTTCACTGTATAGGCTTTGCAAGGCGCAGATAAACATACGTACTATAAGTATAGCCTATAAGACTTTTCACATACTGAAACTGCACGTATGCCACTGAGCAGCATTAAAGTACTGCCACATGATAAAGTTAATAAGGAAACAGCCTTTTTGTGCTGAAATTCAGAAAACCATTGAATTTAACATTTAATGCATTACTTGAATAATATATGTAATAGTAACCGAATGGCATTTCTTATTTACATAAAGATTTGTCAAAAAAATGTCTTGCATTTTTTGTCGTTTTCAATTACTTTTAACGATATTATACCTGATGTCTAGACTTAGTACTAAGGTTAGGCTTTGTAAACTTAGCCTTAGTAGGCTTAGGTTCAAAATTTGTTAGGCTTAGTGGGCTTATGCTTAGTAGGCTTAGTGGGCTTATGCTTTGACTTTGTAAGCTTTACTTTAGTAGATTTAGGCTATGTTAGCTTAGGCATATAGAGGATAACTGTTGAAAAATGTGATATGACCTAACCTACTTTTATCTTTGCCTCACAGATAAACAGAGTAAAATTGTCATACTCGCAGTAATTTGTTGGCCGTTTTACATCGAGGCAAATATTACAAAAGTAAATAATATTACATAAGAAAAAGTTGCGTAACTCGATTTCTTGCAATTTACCAGGCTTTGTTAAACATCTTGTTATATAACAATGTTATGTCAAAGTGCGACATTGCTTGATTTTTTTCTGGTAAAGGCTTTGTAAAGAGGCAGGAAAACGTAAACTTAGGCTTAGTAAACTTAGGCTGAGTAGGCTTAGCCTTTGTAGGCGTAGGCTTTGCAGGCTTAGGCTTAGTAAGCTTAGGCTTAGTAGGCTTAGCCTATTGTAGGCTTAGGCTTAGTAGGCTTAGGCTTAATAAGCTTAGGCTTAGTAGGCTTAGGTTTAGTAAGCTTAGGCTTAGTAGGCTTAGTATTTGTAGGCTTAGGCTTAGTAAGCTTAGACTAGTCGGTTTAACTTAAGACTTTCGACTGTTTTTGGTCTTTTTCGAACTTACAATTTATTTTTTTTGCATTAAAAACGAATAATTAGTACGACGTGCTTTTCCTCTTAACATCTGTTACCTAACTAGATTATTATTTACTTCCAAACAGGTTTAATTTACTCATACCATAACTTATGTATAGTATGGTATTTTCCGTATTTCTATGTATAAATATACAATTTTAGGCTGGTTTGTAAACAACAAAAGTTACATTGTTGTTATTTTTTACTGTAGAATGTAATCTGACAAGTTATATATTAATAGGAAATGACTTATTAATGTAGCTTCTAGTAGGGTAAGTAAATTACAAACGTTTTGAGATTGATAATTGTTTTGGCGTGGTACTTTATTAAACAAAGTAAATTTTTAAGGTATAGGTAGAGGGTAGGGTAGGGTAGGGAAGAGTAAGATTATGTTAAAAATGAAAGATTTCAGAGATCAAAGAACGGCCTTACTATAAACATCTACATAATTAGTAGCCATTAGTGAAACTTTTAGTTAGGTTACTGTCTCAAACTATTTACAAGCTCTAGGCTAGTCATATACTGACTTTTGAAACGTTCTACTTTAACTACTTGAACATGTTGAGTAATTTTCTACGTATAGCCTACAATAGCTTAGTACATTTTTAAAAACCCGTGAATATGATACGTATCTTAGTATATAATACAATATGATATGTGAGGTACTACATTTTAAAACATAATGCATTTGTGACTAATAAAAGATAACACGAGTTGACGTATATAGCTTAAGTTTAGATGAAGCTTATCATAGGCTAGGGCTCTGGGATAGGGCTCTAGGCTAGGGCTCTGGTCTAGGGCTCTGGGCTAGGGCTCTGGGCTAGGGCTTTGGGCTAGGGCTCTGGGCTAGGGCTCTGGGCTAGGGCTCTAGGCTAGGGCTCTGGGCTAGGGCTCTGGGCTAGGGCTCTGGGCTAGGGCTCTGGGCTAGGGCTCTGGGCTAGGGCTCTGGGCTAGGGCTCTGGGCTAGGGCTCTGGGCTAGGGCTCTGGGCTAGGGCTCTGGGCTAGGGCTTTGAACTAATGCTTGGGCGTAAGTTCAGTTATGTTCATAAGTATTAGAGAGTTTGGTTTTAGGTTTATGACAAATTATAATGTAATTTGTCTTACTTTTTCTGCATATTAACCTAATTTTTTAAACAAATATAAACAATTATTATTTAATTATGTACTTTTTTTAGGCTTAATACGTTTTTTATGTCATACTTATTTATCACTTCTCGTTCTTTGCGTCCGACAAACAAAATTTGATTATTTACTTGTTTTTATTAAGTTCAACTACATTAGGACTTAATCAGAATACAAAAAAACATTGCTCTACATTTATTAATCGGTTATGAACTCTTATGGCGTTTGTGAAATTTGAACGGTATGTAAGCTATTAGACATAACGTTGATGGTTCATTTTTTGTTGGGCTGGGACTTGAGCTTTAGTTGGGACTTGTTCTCGGACTTAAGAGCTGAATCTTAGGCTTAAGAACGGGTTTAGGCTTAAGTTTAAGCGTAATGGCTTAAGCTTAAACTTAGGCTTCGGCTTAGGCTTAGGATCAGGCTTAGGATTAGGCTTAGGATTAGGATTAGGCTTAGGCTTAGGCTTAGGCTTAGGCTTAGGATTAGGCTTAGGCTTAGGCTTAGGCTTAGGCTTAGGCTTAGGCTTAGGCTTAGGCTTACGCTTAGGCTTAGGCTTAGGCTTCTGCTTAGGCTTAGGTTTCTGCTTAGGCTTAGGCTTAAGCTTACTCTTAGGTTCAGCTTTAGAATTATGCCTAGGCTTAAGATTATGCTTTTAATCGTAGGCCTTATAGCTTTATGTTCTCGTATTAAGCTTTTAGACTTATGCTTAACTTAGACTTAGACCTCAGCTAAGCTTAGTGTTGACCTTGTTTTTAGGCTTACGCTCCAGTTTAAGCGTAGGCTTAGATCTAAGTTTAATCTTAAGTTTATGTTTAAGTTTAGGTTTGGGTTAGAGCAGAGGGTTAGGCTTACGCGTAAGATTGGGAAGATAAGCTTTGTGTTTAAGTATAGTATTAGTAGTTCGTTTTGGGTTTTCATTTATCATGAGTTTTTAAAATTTTTATTAATGTTTAATTTTATTATGTATTTTAAAATCTCAGATTAAACTTCTATGCCATTCCCATGCAGTTCAACCTAACCTACATTCCAATGATCTTGCCATCCGAACGACTACGTACGATAGCTTGTGTCTATGCTTGGATTGTTCACATCTTTAACGCTGGTTATATGATATTCACAATTAATATTGTGATCTACTGTTCACCTTCAAAAGTCGGGGTTTACAAATACTATGTGGTCTGGTCCAACTTCTGCTTGACAATTATGATGATGTTGTTCGCTAGCTACGAAATTGAAATGTTGGGGTATTATAAGCAAGCTGTTGCTCGTGGCGTGGTCGAGTTTTTTAATGTAAGTTTATCTGATTGGTGTGATAGAATTGACTTAATCATACAGTTAAGGAACTTAAAGTAGATGGGGCAGTTTTTGAAAGATAAGGTGATATTATGGTAAGGTAAGGTATGGTAGAGCAAAGATATAGTAAAACAAAGGTAAGAAGGCAAGGATAGGGTTAGGCAAGGGTATGTAAAAAAAGGGGTAGGGTAAAATAGGGCAGAGAACGGCATGGTACGGCAGTGTCTGGTACGGTGCGGCACGGTATGTTGCAGTACGATATGGCACGGTAGGGTCTAGTAAGAAATGATAATGTAGGGTAGGGTACGGATGATATGGTTGTATACGGTACGGTATGGCAAGTTACGGTAGGTAACGGTAATGTAGGGTATTGCAATATATTGTACTTCAGGTTGCGATACGGTATAATACGGTACGGAACGATACGATAGAAAATGATAACGTAGTGTAGGGTAGGGTAGGGTAGGGTAGGGTAGAGTAGAGTAGGGTAGGGTAGGGTAGGGTAGGGTAGGGTAGGGTAGGGTAGGGTAGGGTAGGGTAGGGTAGGGTAGGGTAGGGTAGGGTAGGGTAGGGTAGAATAGGATAGGATAGGGTAGGGTAGGGTAGGGTAGGGTAGGGTAGAGTAGGGTAGAGTAGGGTAGGGCAGGGTAGGGTAGGGTAGGGTAGGGTAGGGTAGGGTAGGGTAGGGTAGGGTAGGGTACGGTAGATAATAGTATGTTTTTACTTTCAGATGCCTCAGCTTGGAATAGTTTTGCAAAACATAGCTTATGCCTTTTTCGAATCAAACGTAGTAATTGTGTTGTGCAGGTTTGTGTACCGTTGGGCACAAGCTACATCCAAAGAGAGAATTGTTAATTTCATGTCTGGACAATGGTTTTTGCTTCTGTTGATATTGTTATGCAGTGCACTAATATGTAAAACAATATCATTAAGCTTTAATCATCAAGCTAATTCCGAAGCGTTTAAGAAGGAGTTTCCAAGTGATGATCCTGTTCTGAAGGCTTATATCATGGAGCATGCTATTAATGTTGTTGAGGTAGGTGTTTGATTTTAAAAAGTCTTACATTATCGACTTAAACGTCGGCTTGTGGGCTTAGTTTTGGGTTTTTTCTTAGGCTCAAAATCGAATTTTTTAGGCTTAAGCTTCTTGGCTTAGGTTGCGGCTTAGACTTGTTCTGTATCTTAAACTTGGGTTTCCAGGCTTTGTTTTTTAGTTTTAAGTATGTAGGTTTAGGCTTAGGCTTAGACTTAGGCTTAGGCTCAGGCTTAGGCTTAGGCTTAGGCTTAGACTTAGGCTTAGGCTTAGGCTTAGGCTTAGGCTTAGGCTTAGGCTTAGGATTAGGTTTAGGTTTAAGTTTAGGCTTAGACTTAAACTTAAGATTAAGTTTAGGTTTATGCCTAAGCTTAAGCTTAGGTTTCTAAGCTTTAAGCTTTTAAGCTTACAATTTCAAACAAGCCTAGTGATTTTTAGGCTTAGGCTGTTAGTTTCAAACGATTGAATTTAAAATTCAATTTTCAGCCAAATCAATTTGACTTCATTTTCCAACAAGTCGTCTTTCCATGTGTAATCCTAGCCGGCACATTCTGTACAATTCAGTGCTACCGTATGCAATGTTCTCCACTAGCCCCACGTTTGAGCCACACAACAAGGCAAATGTACAAGCTATTAATCAATGTTCTTGTCTTTGAACAATTATATGTCGTATTTTACTGTATTATACCATTTATGTTCACCAAGTACTTCATACCTCCCAAGTATGCCGCAATAGCTGAGTTTATAATACTGCGTGCTTGTTATCTTTACCCTACGTTTGTTATGACCTTCACATTGGCCTTTTATAGACAATATCGAAGTGGGGTGGTGTCGTTTTTCGGCCGAATCAGGGTGTCGAATTCGCTGGTTCCGTCGGTTAGTTCTCATCATGATCTGGCGATGAGTATTTATTAAAAAATTGAAAAAAAAATTTTTTTTTAATTTTTTGAGTTTTTTGATAGTCTTCTCTGTGGGGGAGGCGGGATTCAAAGAAAACATCCTGCCGGGAAGGGCGAGAGCAGAGTTCTTTTCAGACCAGACCCAATACAGGAGTCCGGAATTTGAATTTTGTTTTCCCGCGCTTTTTTTCTACCGGTCGGATCGGTTTGAAACTTTTTCTACCCCCTATTTGGAATGGGTCTGGCTCTTCTAGATGCTGTTAGTTTTTTGATACCTATCATAGTTTTGGAGATATGAGTTTGGCGGGAAAAATAAATTCAAAAATCCGGATCGTTCGGACCGGACCCGAAAGGCAAAACTCAGGGGCGGGAGAGGGGGGGGAGGGGGGTGAAATGTGAATTGGGGGGGGAGGGGGGGAGGGAAATTCCCGTAATATTCAGTTCACAATTGACAAAAAATAAATCTCAAAACAAGCCGATGGCACGATGACTTGTTGTTCAAAAACTATGTCATCATGACATTACAAACAAGAAAATCAGTCCAATCTGTCTCGCTCAGAATCAGCTAAAAAATTTTATTAAAATTTTTTGTATCTGCAACAGTACCTATAAAACATTTTAGCTTGCACTTTTGAGTTTTAAATTTTAAATATTTTAATTTCCCGCCAATTTGGCAAATTTTTGGCATTGTGTTTCAAGCACATTTTTTGACTTTTCAGAGTAGGGTTACAAATGCAAAAATGTAGGTTCATTTAAGTGTTTTCTACTAGTAAATGAAAGAAAAATGATTAAATTTATAAAAATGACAAGGTTATAAGCTTGAAACACAATGCCAATTTGGCGGAAAATTCAAAACTATAACGGCCAAGCCGCCCGCGAGGAAAGCGGGATAGGGGGTACCCATTCCAGAAATAAATTTTTGAAAAAAGTTGAACGTGTTCCCCCCTGTGGATTTTTTCGATTCTCGTCTTCAGACCAAAAGTGCCCGCTCGGCACTGATAACAACCCTCCCCCCCTGTATAAAGAACAACTTTAAAATTATTTATTTTTTGAGCTATTCGTTATATTATACATGACTTCTACTGTATACATGTACGTTTTTACGGTTTTTTGCATATACCTGTTATATTATGGCAATAAATATTTTTGTTTAATAGTATTTTAAAATTTTAAAATTTTTAAAATTTTTTGTTGAAAGACATTCTTTTGGCCCTTTTTCAAACTTTTTGCCGGCCTACTACAACATTATATTTATAGTAGACCCAGGGGAAGGGGGGGGCGCCTTATTACAACTTTTCTTTAGAATGAGGAGGGGGGGGAGAAAAAAGGAAACGAGAGAAAAGGAAGGCAGAGCGGTTAAAATGAGACATGTTTATTAGGGTTATTCACCCCCTCCCCCTCTCCCTCCTCCCATTCACTCTCTGCCCCTTCCTTCTTCCCCCTCCCCCCCCCCTAAATCTAAATCTATTTCTCCCCCCCCCCCCTCTCTGTCTTTTTTCTCCTTCCTGTATACTACCAACATCTTTGACCTTTGACAACCCTAAAAACCCTATTTGACCCTACAATTCCCATATGATAATGTTATAAAACCTTTGGTTGATAAATATCCACAAGCCATACCAGTTCAAACAGCAGACTGCTTATCTTTGTTACCATCTTTTGTTTTCGCAGAATGATTGATAGCAGTTTCCGAAGCAAATTCTAATGTAAGTCTTGACTGACAGTCGAAATATGTTTCTTTTGTCGCTATTTGGCTAAACGCTTTAACCATATGGCAAGTGTAATAAGATAAATTATATTACTAATTATCTTTCGCGATACCTACCCTACCCTACCCTACCCTACCCTACCCTACCCTACCCTACCCTACCCTACTCTACTCTACTCTACTCTACTCTACTCTACTCTACTCTACTCTACTCTACTCTACTCTACCCTACTCTACTATTATCCTAAGCCACCCTTACATTCACCTTGTCCTACCCTTCCTTGTCTTACCCAGCCTTACTTTTCTCTACCTTACCCTGACTATTCTGTCTTGCCTTACTTTGCCTTATCCTGCCCTGCCTTACTCAGTCTTGCTTTATCTTGCCTGACTCTGCTCTACCTTACCTTGACTATTCTGCCATGCCTTACTTTTTACTGCCTTACTCTGCCTTGCTGTTTCTTATCTTTTCAAAAAAAAATTACCCCGCCCAAAAAAACCCCTAATGTCCAAAACTTTTTTTTCCTTTTTTTTGCTACGGTCGGCTACCGACTTTTCAAAAACTTAAAAAGTCCACAAAATTAGCATATAAATCAAGTTTGTCTGAGCCACAACGATGATATTGAATAGATAAGAGAAACCCCCTTTCTTTGATTGCCAAAACTTTTGCGCAGGCTGGTCACTATAAACATTTACGCAGAATGAATACAGCAGACAGTCAGACGGTTGTACATTTGCAACGGTCACTAGTGGACGTCAAAAATAAAAATTAGCGTTGTTTTCCGAGCTTTGGCCGCCGTTTTGCGCCTGAATCAGAGGTTTTGCTTTGATCAAATATAAAGAAATGAAACAATTATGGAAGGGCGTGGGCTAGTAAAGAGGAAGAGGAAGAGAGAGAAAGGGTGAGAGTGGGAAACGAGCCGGGGTTTGTGTTTTGCCAGACCGAGCTGGACGTGATTTTTTTAGCCGGTCCAGTCCGGCCCCGTTTTTTTTCGCTCAACCCGGTCCGGTCTCTTCAGGTCGAGACGGAAAAGGTCCCGGCTAGTCGGGATTTTTATATAAATATTTTGTTTTTCTTTATACATCTTAAAAACTCTATTAACATAAGTAAAGCAGCAATTAAAAACTTTTTTTCCAAAATACAGAGCCGAGTAAATAACAAAAAAATTTTTTTTGGTCGGGAACGTTTCGTACGGTCCTAACCAGCAAGTTTTTGGGTCCGGTCCAAGCAAAAAAAAACGATATGGACCGAGCCGGATCGGTCCGGGAAAGCATTGGCCAAGCCGGTCCCGTTTTTTAAGGCTCGACGGTTGGGCTCGGGTTTTTTTTTCAAGCCAACCCGGACCCATTAAAAGGTTTTAGGGTGGCATGGCACGGGCCGTTTTGAAAATTTAAAAAATTATGACAACTTAAAAAGTAAAAAAAATTTGATTTTGCTTTCTTTGTTTAGATAGTTTCTTAATTTTGTTAAAAAACAAAGAACATAAAGGAAATCTAAACAAAAAAATTTAAAAAAGTTTAATTTTTAAAATAAAAAAAATAAAAAAAATTTTTTTGGACTTACTTTTCAAACTTGGTTCCCAGGTCGAGCCTAACTTTCTAACGCCCGTTTCTAATTTAGCTCAAAGCGGTCCGGTTCCTATCATCAGGCTGGGCTAGACAAGGCCAGACTGGGCCTGCACGAAAACTTTTTTTGACCCCTTCCTTAGATCGAATGCCTCCGCCCGGCATTGGTCACAACTTGTCATAAAATCTTATAATACAACCAGGGCCGGGCGGGGACTTTTGGCCTGGGGGCAGGGGTCCGAAAAATCGGCACAGGTAGCTAGCTACCTGTGCCGATTTTTTGCGAAAATTTTTTTTCCAAAAATCCACAGGGGGGGGACCACGTTCAAATTTTTTCAAAACTTTTTTTTTGGGGGAGTAGCCCCCCGTCCCCCCCCCCTCGCGCCCGGCCCTGAATACAACTATTTTACAGAACTGCATAGATTAGGGTAGGGTAGAATTTTTTTTAACATTTTATTTTATAAGACGTGCCATTTTATAAAAAGTTTTGTTTTGACGAAAAATCTTTTTTTTTTAACAGTCGTTTTTGTGCACTTTGTAATTTATGGCCAAAACATTTGTTACTTCGCGATTAAAACTCGGCAACTTTAAAAGCGAAAATTCTTTTTGAATGAAAAATTTATTCGTTTAATTAATCGATATTGCGCAGTTAAACGGAAGTTTAAAAATCGTTTTAAGCCCGTCGATTTGTTTAAAAATTAGGTTTAAAAAGTTGGAGGAACTGTTGCAGTAGGGCGTGGCAAAAAAATAGTCAAATGAAAGGATAAACTAAATCTTGGGAAAAAGTTAAAGAATAGCTACGAAATGGTTAGGGTAAGGTTGGAGGAGGGGGGGGAGGAGGGTAGGGGGAGGGTGTAAGGAAGGGTGTTTCTTTTAGAGGTATGGCACACCTAAGGGATGGGGCACAGTGGACCTACGGTAGAGAAAGAAGCCTAAAAATAAGGGTATGGCTAAGGCTAGAGCTAAAGATAGAGCTAGAGCTAGAGCTAGAACTAGAGCTAGGGCTTAGGCTAGCGCTTTCGCTAGGACTTAGGCTAGGGCTTAGGCTAGGAATGAGGATAGGGGGTAGGCTAGAGCTAGATTTTGAGCTTGAGTTTAAGCTAGGCTTAGGCTTAGAATTTGGCTTAGGCTTAGGCTAGTGGGCTAAGCTAGGGCTTAAAAACTTAGGCTTAAGCTAGGCGCCAAGAAGTGTGTCAGGTATATTTACGATTAGCGCGAAGCTTTGAAATGTGAGATATAAGTAGGCGTATGGCAATTCAGTGTAACCGTAAAAGGGTGCGTCTACCTTTGCGGTAAGGTATAATCTATCATTATATGTATATCTTAATTTAAAGAGCGAATTGACTTTGTGGTTTGAGGATGATAGGTGAAGGTTGGGTAAAAGCAGAAAATGGGGGGGGGTCTTAACTTTCAATGTTACAATATATTGTCCATGCCATTGACTAACCTGAGGATTAGTGTTTTAAAAACATAAATTATTGTCGCTAAAAGCTTTAGTATAATGTGAATAAGAGCGAGTAGTGTAATATTAAACTAAGGATTAGGCAAAGAAGCAAAAATACCCCGCCTTTGAGCAAAAGAATTTAAATTAGGCCTACTGTAGCTACAATGACTCACATGATTCAACTATGACTCATACTGTGAATCAACGATTTTTATTTTAAAATCCACAGTAACGTTATAAGGTAAACGGCCAATAGGGTTAATGGCACGTGAATAACTGGTGGTTGTGCTAGGTTCAAAGTACAATGTATAATATGGTATATAAGGGATGAGAGTAGAGAAACGTTAAGCTAGTCATAGTACAGTAGGACACTGATATGTAGAGTATATGTTTTGATTCGGTTGGGGCGAAATTGTTTTTTAAAATGATAGGGCAATAGAGGTATTATATTAAAGTAAGGCAGGCTTTAGGCTGTAGTAGGTAAGAGATGGTAGGTATAAAGTAAGGTACAGAGAGTAGAAGGTAAGGTACGTTAGGTATAAAGCAAAATGCGGTGGGTAGAACGTAAGGTAAAGTACAATAGATATAAAGTAAGGTACCTTGGGTAGAAGATGAAGTATGTTAAATATAAGCTAAGGTACGGTAAGTAATAAGCAAAATAAGCTTAAGGAAAGGCATAGTAGGTAGAAAGTGAAGTGCAGTAGGCGAAAAGTATGGTACTGTTGGTACAAGATAAGGCAAGTTAAGTTTAATGTAAGTTACTGTAAGTGGGAGATATAGTACGGTAGGGAGAAGGTAAGGTACGGGGTTTAGAAGGCAAGGTAAGTTTGGTATAAGGTAAGATACGGCTGGTAGAGGGCAAAGTAAATTAGGTATAAAGTAAGTAAGAATTAGATAATGTACGGCAAGATAGAAGGTACTGTACGTTGAAGGTCAGGTAAGTTAGGTAAAAGTTAAAGTACGGTAAGTAGAAAGTAAGGTATTAATATATTAGGTAAAAAGTATGATACAGTAACTATACTGCACGCAGAAATTATTGAGCGCCCCACTAAAGTGGCAATGAGTAAACCGATTTGGACCAAATTTGACATACGTGTTCCTAGTTTACTGGAATATGTTCTGGTAAGACGAAATGTCAATTGGTTTGTGACATTTCGTTTTACACAAAAAAATTATTTTTTGGTGTGAAAAAATGTGAAAAAATTATTGAGCACCCCTATAAAATAGCACGGAGTTGCTAGAATTTTGAGTTTTTTACAAGAATAAGGTAAGCTGTTATTATTCTATGTTTTAAAAGTGGTTTCAGAATGTTGACTCAAGAAGAAAGAAACGAGATCGTTCAAATTTTCGAAAAGACGGGAAACATCACGGAGGTTAGAAGAAGGGCCGGCCACAGCAGGAATACTGTGAAGAGAATCATCAGTAATGTTTCTAACAAGAAAGTTGGTCGTCCAGCAAACAATAGTCCTGCCGCTGTTCGTCGAATAAAACGTTTTGTGGAGAAGGAAGTTCGTGCTGGACACAAGGTGACCGCAAAGATCATCAAAGAGAACCTAAAACTGGATTCCAGCCTTCGCACAATACACACACTTTTAAAGGAAAATGGCATTACCTACGAAGTAACCAAACGGCAACTTCCGTTAAGCCGTTCTCAGATGGTTTACAGGGCAAATTTTGCCAAAAAGCATCTTGATCAAAAGACCAATTTTTGTAAGTGGATATTCTCGGACAGAAAGAGGTTTTCATTTGACGGACCAGACTATTTGGCTTGCTACGGTACCTATAATGCTCGTTTAAAGCGAATCAAACGTCAAGCAGGTGGTGGAAGTGTGATGGCACTTGGCGCTATATTCAGCAATGGTAACATCAAGGTAAATGTAAGTAAAAACTATTACAAACAGTGTTTATGATTGCCACTTTAGACCTTCCATGGGCCATTGAGCAAGTGGGTCGTACAGGGTGGTACTGCCAGTAGGACAACTGCGCCCTTCACCCTTCCAAGGAAACTACCAACTTTTTGAAAAAAAGCAAGTTAGTGTAGTTGATTGGCTTTTATTATAACCTGATTTCAGCATTTTTAAAAACGTTTGGAAGCCTTTGGAAGATCGGGTTCATGAACATGGTCAGTTTTATGAAAAAAGCACGTTAGAACAAAAATTTTGTCGTGCAGCGAAAACTTCCCGAAAGACGTTACCTCTAGTTTTTATTCAAAGATACCAAGACGATTGTAAAAGATTTTGGAAGCAGGAGGTGGAGAAACCTAGGTATTTTAGGGGGCGGTCAGTCATTTTTTCCCCCTTTTTTGACCCATTTTTACAAAATTTTATTTAAAAAGTTGTTTATGATAATGCAGCTAGTTCTGGTTATGTTTTTGTTGTTACAAGGTTGTTAATAAACTATATATAAAATTTGGTCCAAATCGGTTCACTCATTGCCACGTTAGTGGGGCGCTCAATAATTTCTGCGTGCAGTATATAAAGAAAGGTACGATAGGTATAATGTACGGCAAGTAGAAGGTACGGTAGGTAGAAAGTATAGTAGAGTAGGTAGAAGGTAAAGTAAGTTAAGTATTATAAAAAGACAAGGTAAAATAAAGATTGAAAGTTTGGGTTGGGCATGGCCAGGCCCGGGCGCAAGAAACGGGGGGAGAGGGCAGAGGGGTACCAACCTTCCCTCCCGCCACACGGAAAAAATGTGAAAAAAGTTGAACGGGTCCCCGCTGTACATTTTTGAAAAAAAAATGAGGAGGGGGGAATGCTTACGGTTTGGTAGACCCCCCCCCCTAAACCACAGCCTTCCGCTCGGCTCTGAGCATGGCATATGTTATAGCAAATCTTTTGTTATAACATATAACTGTAATAAGCATATTTTTATTATTCTACATGTGAACGGCGTTCCGTTTTAATCTTATTATTATAAGATTAAGCTTTGCCATAAAGGTATCTTTAAAATCCTCCCGCTGCATCTTTAAGTGGTATATTGTTGTTGCTCCAGATGCGTTGTTTTGCGCAAAAGAATTAGGGATATGCATATATATGAGTTAGGCTATACTTATAGGATTATATATATAAAGGTATTTTTATGCGCGGCTGTAAATAAGAAGGTAGGGGGGGGTAGAAGGAAATTTAGATTATAACTTTTGATTTGTAAAGAAAGTTCTTGTCATTTTTTGCTTTGTAAAGAAATTTTTTGTCATTTTTTGTTCTGTAAACAAAGTTCTTCCCATTTTCTGTTTTGGAAACAAAGTTTTCGCCATTTTTTGTTTTGTAAAGAAAGTTGCTTTGTGAACAAATTTTGCAACTTAAAATCATGTGCTTCCTAACAGGAAAGTTAAGTAATAAACTTTTTTTGCTCCCGAAACGTTTTTATACGTTGCTTTTTACACTATGAAGTGAGGTATACGACCCTCATTTGTCTCACCAAGAAATATTTGCAACACTTAACTTTAGTTTACGTTAAATGTTAATATACCCTACCCTACCCTACCCTACCCTACCCTTGCCATACCGTACCATTGGTTTGCTTTACTTTCTCCAATCTTACCTTGCCTTGCATTACCTTACCCTGGCCTACTATACTCTCCTTATCTGGCCCAGACTATCCTGTCCTACTTTACCATGCCCTTTTTGCTCTACCATGCCTAGTCTTCCCTGGTTTTTTACTCTTTTGTTAATTATTATAATTTACCACGCCCAACGAAAACCCAAGTATAAGTTTTTTTTATTTTTTTGTCACGATCGCCTAGTATAATATAAGATGCCATTTTTCACTGACATAAAATTTATTTTTATTCAAAAAAAATTATTTTAGGTAATAAGCCATGCCTCCCAAATACAAATGTCGATGGAAAGACTGTACCTTCGAGTGTCATAGTCACAAAGATCAGAAAAGTCATCTTTTCAAGCATTTTGGAGTCAGCAAGACCTTCTGTGAATGGAAGGACTGTAACCAACTGCTGGGCACTTCCAACATTGCCAAGTTTAAGCATATACAAGATCATTTAAGTTGTGTCAGTTATGAATGTGATAAGTGCCGCAAAGTGTTTGATAATGGAATGGAGATGGAAAAACATGAAAAGGAGGGTCATTTGGATAAGGTACTGTTTTTGGACCTTTTTTTGAGGGGGGGAGGAGGTTGATAGGGGGAGGGGGGAGGAATGAGCAAGGCAGGGTAAAAAAAAGTGGGTCATAAAGTAATTCGAGATTGCGAAAGAAATGGTATATAATACATAGAGCAGGGGATTAGATAGGGCGATAAAACATGGCAAATATAAGGCGTGGCAAAAATAGTGCATGGGAGAAATAGGTTGGTTTGGACATAGGGGTATTATAAAAAGATAACGGTAGAGCAGGGTAAGCTATGGGGAAAAGTCAGGGTAAGGCACGGTAAAACATGAGAAAAACACATGGCAGGGTAGGACAGGGTAGAGCGTAAGAGGGTATGGTAAGGCATGGTAGAGCGTGAAAAAAAAGCAGGAAAGGTAGGACAGGGTAGAGCGGGAGCACGGGGGAAAAGACAGGGAAAGGTAGGGTATGGTGAAAAAACAGTGTAGGGTCACCATGGGGAAAGACAGGGTATGGTAAAGTAGCCCATAGTGGAAAATCAAGGGTAGGGTAGGGTAGATAGGGTTAGGGTAGGGTAGGGTAGGGTAGGGTAGGGTAGGGTAGGGTAGGGTAGGGTAGGGTAGGGTAGGGTAGGGTAAGGTAGTGTAGCGTAGGGTAGGGTAGGCTAAGGTAGGGTAGGGTAGAATAGGGTAGGGTAGAATAGGGTAGGGTAGGGTAGGGTAGGATAGGGTAGAATAGGGTAGGGTAGGGTAGGGTAGGGTCTGTCGCTTTGTCCAAATGCCGGATTTGGTCTTTGTTTTGACGCTAGCGCAAAGTTTAACGGTGTCTTAAAAGGCTGAACGTCACGGATTATGCCGCTTCAAATCAAGGACTAATATATGGCTCTTTCATCTGTCATTTCTTTATACAAAATGAGTGATTTGGAGCTTCACAGCTGGGCTGGGGAATTTTTTGTTTATTTTCTAAAATTTTTTTTTGTAATTTGGAGTTGAGCAGAGTAGGGTAACTTAAAATTTTTTTTAAACTTAAAATTTTTTAAATTTTGATTTTTCAGGCATACGACAAGCTTCTGTTGCCAGATATTACCACCCAACATGAAAGGCTACATAACGAACTGCCAGAACTTATAAACCGCACTATGAACCTTGGAATTCCTACTGTAACTAAGCCAGGAGCTCAGAAAGATCAAAGTTCTACAGTTACTCTACCGCCTACTCTACTATCCCCTACTCTACCCAACTCTACCCTACCCTACCCTACTCAACCGGTTTCTACCCTACCTTACCCTAACCAACCAGACCCTACCTTACATCACCCTACCCAACCGGGCAATACCCTAAATCACCCTAGACTACCTACAAGCCCTAAAGATACTGTAGAATCAACTAAACCTTCAAGTTCAAAACCCACACCTACTGCATTACATACAGGAAATACGGTAGATACTACAGTAGACCAACCTACCTCAATGTTACCATCAGATTCAGAAGTAGTTTTAATTTTATCGACCGCAGTAGCCAAGGAAACGACCCAGTCAGCTTTACCTTCTACTTCGATATCTAGCTCACTATCAACTACGCCAACCATTCCAGCTACTGAGTTAAGAAGTGGCATGGAGCTTTTAATGGATCTATTACACAAAAATGGAGTTACCGTAGACAGTGTTGACATTACAGTATCTGCTAGTCAGATTGATGGTACTAGTGATCCGTCTGATGTGTTTAGTACTAGTGGTACTATAAATGAGCTTGAAGACCCTACTAACTTCAATAGGTCTGGCATTGCTTACAGTAACCAGTGTAACCATATAAACTCAAATGGAAGTAATGGAACGAATTACGGTACCTACAGTAACTTTACTAACCAAAATCAATGTATTATGATTTCTGACAACTACAGTAATCCTATCTATCAAAATAAAACTAGTCATAGTACTGAACTGTACGGTATTGGTACATATAGTCAAGATATTCAGAATTTTGAAACAATAGGTATGGAAGGCAGGATTCAAGAAGTTAACGATGAAAATATGTCTTTAGAAGGCCAATATCAGAAGGATTCAAACAGTCCAGAAAAAATCGTCAACTTTATTCAGCCATTGACTGTTGATGTTACAGGTAAATTTTTTTTGAAACTTAAGCTTAATTAAAGAGGGTAGGGTAAAGTATTGTTAACTAATGTACGGTATATTGATTTGTAAAGAAAGTTCTTGCAATTTTTTGTTTTGTAAAGAAAGTTCTTGCCATTTCTTGTTTTTTAAAGAAAGTTTTTGCAATTTTTTGTTTTGTAAAGAAAGTTCTTGCAAAAGTAGAAAAATGTTACCTATTTTTTCATTTTCAGAGCCCATGACACTATCAACTAGCCAGACATCCCAACCTTCAAACCCTTGCCCTATTATAACTACACCTTCTACTAGCACGCCCGACCATGATCTACAGTACGCTGTAAATGATACTCAAAAACGGCGAAGCTCAGATGATGGTGTTAACATAGAAGACGTGCCTCCAAAGCTGATGAAGATTACTGATGTTCAAGGTCATGGTCATGTAACTTTATATAATGCCAACTGGAATGCACCACAGTTAACAGCCTGTCAGCTAGTGGGACCAGGTGATACTGTAGAGCATCTAGAAGGTCACGGAAGTCAAGAAGACATACTACAAGTTCAAGTTGGTCAGGTAGCTCAATAACAGGTTCAAGTTGGTCAATTAGGTATACCACAAGGTCAAGTTGGTCAAGTAGCTTATCAACAAGGTCAAGGTAGTCAGCTAAATCTAATACAAGTTCAAGCTGGTCAAACAAATTATCAAAAAGGTCAAGCTGGTCAAGGATGTCTACTACAAGGTCAACCGGATCAACTAGCTCATGAACAAGGTCAAGTATCTCAATTAGCTCACCGACAAAGCCAGGCTGGTCAAGTAGTTCATCAGCAAGCTCAAGTTGGTCAAGTAGGTTTACTACAAGATCAAGTAGCTCATCAACAACCTCAACAAAGACATCACCCAGTTCACGCGGGTCAAGTAGATGAACACCTAGCTCGAGCAATACTATGTGGTGAACAACAAGCTGAATTAGAACGACAAAGGTACCAAAAGGCTCAAATGATACAAGTAGAACAAGACAAAGCTCAAGTAGTACCAGTAAGCTATCAACAAGCACAAGAAGTACCAGGAGGGCATCAACAAGCTCAAGGAGTACTAGTAGGACAACAGCTAGCTCAGGCAGGACTAGTAGGACAACAACTGGCTCAAGCAGTACCAATAGATTATCAAAGAGCTCAACTAGTACCTATAAGCTACCAAAATGCTCAAACTGTACCAGTAAGCTATCAAAATGCTAAACCTGTACCAGTAAGCTACCAAAATGCTCAAGCTGTGCCAGTAAGCTACCAAACTGCTCAAGTTGTACCAGAAAGCTATCAACTGGTTCAAGCAGTACCATTATCATCCACAAGTCCGTATCAAATGAACCTCCAACAACAAACTAGTCCTCTTACAAGAATGACCAACATAGTGAATATGCAAAATGGTACTATTCCTAATCAAGTAGGACCAAATATAGTACTGCAAAATCAAGGTCAGAATCATATAGTACCTGGACAGACAGTAGGACTAAACTTGGTACCAGTAGGACATTCTGGCTTTATGGGTAATGGTCAGTTAGAACAAGCAGTACAACAAGTCTCTTCAATGGGTTCTACTACAGTACTTGAAAGTCATGCTAGAGCTAACATGATACATCAACAACAATTACAACAGAATCGACAACTAGTAAATCTACAACAACAGCAAACGGCACAAAATCAAATGCCAGTAATGCCTTCAAATATGACTGAAGCACAGAGGTTCGCCTGGATACAACAATGTAATATGATGAGGCAACAACTCTTTCTTCAAGGCCTGCAAGGTCAAGTTCATGGCCCACAAAGCCAAGTTCAAGGCCTGCAAAGTCAAAGTCATAGCTTTCAAGGACAACGTAATGGATTTCAAAGTCAAGTTCATAACGGTCAAGTTCATGGACTTCAAGGGCAATTTCAAGGCTTTCAAAATCAAGTTCAACACCATCAAGGTCAAGTACAAGGCTTTCAGAGCCACGGTCATGGCCCTCAAACTTATGCTCAAGGCCTGTCAGGTCAAGTTCATGGCTTCCATGGTCAGGTTCAAGGCCAGCCAGGCCATGCTCAAAGTCCAAGACAACTACAAGATCAGCAAGACCAACTACAAGTTTTTGGTACGAGGCCGAATAATATGGTGCCCAACGGTATGATACCAAGTGGTATGGTGCACAACAGTACGATGCAAAATAGTATGATGCACAACAGTATAGTACAAAATAGTATGGTACCCAATAGTATGATGCAAAATAGTGTGGTGTCCAACAGTATGACTTCAAATAGTATGATGCCTAACAGTATGATGCCATATAGTATGGTGCCCAACAATATGGTCCAAAATAGTTTGATGCTAAACAGTATGATGAACAAAAGCATGGTGCCCAACGGTATGATGCAAAATAGTATGGTGCCCTACCAAAACCCTCAAGCTAATCATCAAAATCAAGCCATAATGAACCGCCAAAGTCCTCAAACTCAGATGACCAACTACCATAACCCAACAAACCTTCAACCTCAAAACCCTTACCGTAATCAACCTCCATCTTACAGTGCTTACCTACAAGTCCAAGTCAATACCCACCTAGCTAAAGCTAAAAAGCCAAGCAAAAAAGAGTTGGAAGTTCAAGTAGACGTCTATGCCAAACAACTTGAACTAGCTAAACAGCAGGCTGAACTGTTACAGTATGAAAAGATGGCCTTGCAGCATCAGCTTGATATTGAAAAGATTGAGGCTTCAAAGAAGGACTTTTATAGACAACATGGTATTAATGTGAGTAATGATTTAGTTACTCCAGCTTCTACTATGAGCATGGACAGTAGTACTACTCGACCTACCTCGAACGGTAGTATTATGGCGCAGAGTAATGAAGGTCAAGGTATGGATATGGTACAACAGCCAGTTCAGTATGGTCAATACAATGCCGTTCCAAGCACCGTTCCAACTACCGTTCTAACCACCGTTTCAACCAACGTTCCAACTACCGTTTCAACGACCGTTCCAACCACCGTTCCAACCACTATTCTAAGCGCCGTTTCAAACGCTGTCAACGTTTTAACTACCGTTCCAACCACCGTGCCAAACACTGTTTCAACGACCGTTCCAACCACCGTTCCAACCACCATTCTAAGCGCCGTTTCAAACGCTGTCAACGTTTTAACTACCGTTCCAACCACCGTGCCAAACACCGTTTCAACGACCGTTCCAACCACCGTCTGAACCACCGTTCCAACTACCGTTCCAAACCCTGTAGCTTATGATACTTTAGTCGAACATGAACAAGTAAATCAACATCAAGAACTACAAAAGCTACAACAAGATCAGCATCAAAGCAATGATGTTCAGCCTATGATACTAATAGCAGCTCCAGACCTACATAAGCTACTACAAGATCAGCATAAAGATGGTCATGGTCAACCTAGTGCACTACTACTACCAGTAGCTCAAGGTCTAGTGCAAAGTAGTACGGCTCAACTGATGAAGAATGATGTACAAAATAGTACAGTAGGTCCTAAAGCAAAAAGAAAACGTGGTAGACCACCAAACTCAATAAAAGAAAACGCTGAGTTTAAATCACTTTATCAAGAAAGCAATGGTCTAAAACCAGTCGAGCAAGAAGATCAGCATCAAGGCAATGATTTACAGCAAGAAGATTTTGTGCAAGTTAGTACTGCAGAAGCTGGAGATAGTGTAGTACAGGGTACAACAGTAAACAAAAAAAGAAAACGTGGCAGGCCACGAAAAGTAAATAACTACAATATTGAAGTTAAATCACCTTATCAAAAAGGAAAAGCCCTAAAAGATGTTGATAAGGAAGGTGAGAGCTTAACAATGGCTTCTGAAGAACTTGAAAAGCTTAAATCACTTTACCAAGAAGCTGAAAAGCCAATATCACATAAAAAGAAAGATGAAGAAGAAGCAAAAATATCTGAGAAAGAAGCAAAAGTACTTGAAAAAGAAGCAAAAGTATCTGAAAAAGAAGCGAAGATACCTGAAAAAGAAGAAAAGATATCTGAAAAAGAAGCGAAGATACCTGAAAAAGAAGAAAAAGTACCTGAAAAAAGAAGCGAAGATACCTGAAAAAAGAAGAAAAAGATATCTGAAAAAGAAGCAAAAGACTCATTAAAGCCTTCAAAAGAAGTTAAGAAGCCAATATCACATGAAAATAAGGATGATAAAGAAGCGAAGGTACCTGAAAAAAGAAGAAAAAAGCACAAAAAAAAGCTTCCAAAGGTTGTTGGAAAGGCAAGATCTGTTGATAAAGAAGCTTTCAAATCATTATCGCATGAAAACAAAGATGATAAAGAAGCAAAGCCACATGATAAAGAAGAAAAAAGCTCAAGAAAGCTTTCAGAACAAACTGAAAAGCCAAGATCTCTTAACAAGAAGGCTGAGAAACAAGCAAAGACATCTCAAAAAGAAGATGAAAAGCCAAGATCTCTTAATAAAGAAGCTGCTAACTCAATATCACATAACAAGAAGGCTGATAAACAACCAAAGCCATCTCAAAAACAAGAAGAAAAAGCAAGAAAACTTCACAAACACCACAAAAAGTTGCTGAAGAACGCGATAGAAGCTTCCGAATACTCGGAAGACAAGAAATCTCTGTACAAAGAAGCCAAGGAGTCATTGAAAAAGGTATTTGAAAGCTCTAAAAGCCTAGAAGACAAAGAGTTATCTTACCTTGAAGTCAAGAAGTCATTGCTAATTGAAGCGGACAAGCTGAGGCAATGTGTTTCATCTTTATCTTTACCTTTGGCTAAGGCACAGAATACTGATGGTACGGGAAATGGTGTCGTTAGTGGTAAGAGTAACGTAGAAGAAACTGTTGAAAGAAGTAAAGTAAAAGCTATTAAAGGTGGTACAGTAAACGCTACTAAAAGAAGTACTGTAGAAGCTATTAAAGGCAGTACTATAGAAGCTACTAGGAAAAGTACAGTAAACCTTAAAAGACGTACTGAAGAAGCTGGAAGCCGTACAGAAGAAGATGTTATAAGCCGTACAGTGAAAGCTACTGAAAAAAGGACAGTAGAAGCTGATGAAAGAAGTACAGCAGAAGCTATTGAAAGCCTGTTCAGTGCTCCACAAACCACCGTGGAGTCTACTGAGCCTTCTAAACCTAACGTCATGGCTTCACCTATTCCTGATGCTCCTACCATGAAGTCTTCATCAGGCTACAGTACTACATCTACTACAAAAAAACATTTTCCAAACTACAGTACAACCACTACTACTACTACAATAAAAAAATCTACATCATCAAACACCGTACTATCATCAAATATCAATAACACGTCAGCAGGTAGTATGACACCACCACCAGCTGATCCTCATATCAGAAAGAGCTCTAGTACTATCAGTTTTCTTGAAGCTATTGAAGAGGTAAAGAGAAATGAGAAAGATGATCTTGATGTGCCTGAATGTAACATGGGTTCTAAAGCTACCTCAAAAAAGCCATGGTCTTCTGAAGCTGCATCAGGCAAGAATTGGACTTCCAAATCCACTTCAGTAGCTCAATCATCTTCTGGATCCAGTTTGGTCTATAAAATCCAAAAAACGACCAAAAATGCTTCACAAATCGACCAAAACAAGCCCCATGAAGCTGTAAAACCACCAAAATCTACCTTCGGCTTCAGACCGACACCCACATCTAGCATAAGCTCCATACCGTCACCTACCTCTACCCTAATCTCCAGCTCTCCATCTACATCTACCATAAGCTCCAACTCCACATCCACCTTAAACTCCAATACCCTCACCAACCCAGCAGACCACCAAAAATGGCTACAAGAACGGCTACACTGCGCAAGAATCCATGTCAAATCGACCGTGCCAAAGCCATCAAACGACAATGAGGAATATATTCGAAAGATCACCCCGGAACTACAAGCTCTTATGAACAAGAGCTTTGAAACATTCAATGAGATTCGTGCCCACTACAGAAGCCAAGGCTATAGACCGTCAATCTACAAGGATAAGAAGATTGTACCTCATCGTTTGATCAAGATTGGAGGAATTAGAGAGAGGAGAAAGCTGTTTTCGAAGGTAACGAAACTTTTTTTGAAGAAAGTTTTTTTTAAGTTGAGCAGGTAATTTTAGGCTTAAAACAGAGCTTTAGGCTTAAAACAACAATTTTACTATTTTTTAAAAAATTATAAGTTTATCAAAAAAGTTTTAGGATTAAACATACATTTTAGGCTTAAAAATCAGATTAGGCTTATAAAATATGCTCAGCCCAGAATTTTAGGCTTAGGACGCAATTTTAGGCTTAGCAGAAAATTTTAGGCTTAACTAGGACCTTTAGTTTCAGAAAACGTATTTAGGCTTCGAAAAGAGTTTTAGGCTTAACCCACAATTTTAAGCTTAATTCCCAATTTTAGGCTTAAATCAGAATTTTAGACTTAAAACAAAGTTTTAGGCTTAATCCATAATTTTAGGTTTAGAAAAGAATTTTAGTCTTAGATCACAAATTTAGGCTTAAATTTCAAGTTCAGACTTAGAACACAATTTTAGGCTTAGCTAAGAGTCTTAGGCTGATTAGAGAACAATTTTAAGCTTAAATAACAATTTTAGGCTTAGAACACAGTTTTAGGTTTAAAAAAGAATTTTAAGATTTGCAAAAAGTCTTAGGCTTATTAGAACAAAATTTTAGGCTTAACCCACATTAGGCTTAGGAAAGAATTTTAGGCTTAGCTAAGAGTCTTAGGCTTAGACCGCAATTTTAGGCTTGCAAAACAATGTTAAGTTTAACAAAGAATTTTAGGCTTACTACTGGTGCCATTTTTCAATTTAAAAAAAATTTTAAATTTTAAATTTCAGAAAAAGCTCCACGAACTGAGAACCTCAAAACCATGTCAAAACTATAAACTGAAGCGTATACCTACTGTTATGAATGAGTACCGGAAGCAAGAAGACCCCAGAACCGTATCAAACCAAGTTTTTGCTGCTCGTCAAGCCAACTCAAAGCTGGATCAACTACTGTCTTTGACTGAAATGTAGGAGCTTACTGTAATATGTCTACCCTATTATTTTACCCTTTTCTCTATAGAAGATTACTGTAATATGTCTACTGTAGAAGATTACTGTAATATGTCTACTGTGGACGATTTCTGTAGTATGTCTACTGTAGAAAATTACAATAATAAGATTCATGTAGAGAATTACTGTAATTTGTCCAGGAGCTTACTGTACTATGTCTACTGTAAGAGATTTCTGAAATAGGTCTGCTCTGGAAGATTACTGTAATAAGCCTACTGTAGGGAGTTACTGTAATAGGTCTGCTGTAGGAGACTACTGTATTAAGCCTACTGTATAATTGCACTTTTATGAAGGAAGGGGACGCTGACAAAAAATTGAAGGGGTGTGGTAGAAAAAAAGGGGGGGGGGCCTTACCACGCCCAAAAAAAATTTAAAATTTTTTAAATTCATTTTAAAACTAAAATTTTTTTTTCGTTTTTTCTCACCCCCCCCCCCCCCTTTACACTTCCCCCTCCTTACTTCAAGTCTACAACCCTTCGCCCGCCACTACTTTCATTTTCAACCCGGATCTACTTCAATATACTTCATTGCCTTAACTCAATATTCCAAAAAAATACTATTTTAATGATATCAACCGTTTGTATAGACATATATATCGGTCTTACTATGTTTTTATGCTAAATATCATGTTAGTATGTTAGTTGATCTAACACAATATCCAAAATGCTAAATCTCAAAAACCCACACCGTTGCTAAAATCCAAAAATATATTGCTATACCTCTAAATATTGCCTTTTCAATTGTATCTCATATAAACCTCGTATCAAAAAAAATCTTTATCTCAGGTACAATATTGTTATTGCCAACTTCTTGTTTTCCAGGTCATTTTACTGTTTTATTGCCAATCTTTAACTGATGCTAAAAAATAAAAAAATATAAAAAGTTACTTGTACAAATATGTATACAAATAAACAGACCGAGCTGCATTTGGATCTAGCCCAGAGCCCTAGCCCAGAGCCCTAGCCCAGAGCCCTAGCCCAGAGCCCTAACCCAGAGCCCTAGCTTTACCCATGCCCCTCATTGGTTTATTCTATGACCATGTCTCAGTTCATGACCATGATCATACCTTACTCATAAAACACCATATACAAGGCCTACTTTCCTTTACTCAAGCCTAGCATATCTGAAATAGAAAAAATCCTAATATGACCTAACCAGCTCTGCCTTAACCTGGAAGAAATTCAAAGAAAGATCCCAACACTTGCAGTCATTTGTTGGGTCGTTTTACACCGAGGCAAATATTACAAAAGTAATCAATATTACATAAGAAAACGTTGCGTAATACGGATTTTTACAATTTCTCTAAGGCTATTTTAATGTATCATAATATTATCTAACATGCGATAAAATACGTAATTAGTATAGGTACGTAATAGCTATGTAAAAATAAATATTCTACCCTACCCTACCCTACCCTACCCTATCCTACCCTACCCTACCTTACCCTAATGAAACACAAGATACCAAACCACAATTACTACACATTCTTGACATACGAAAAAACATCTGAACTCATTAAATTAAAAGTTTAAACAATCGGCAGTGATTGCTAACGCAAATTGACAGGACATTGTAAACCCATTACATATTCCCATGAGAAAAAAACTGTGAGCATTTGGTGTTTCATATGCTACTGGATTGACCTTTTTCAGTTTTCTAGTTTTTTATTAATTTTAGGCTTAAAATGTGAAATTAATGGATAGGGTAAGTCAGTAAGTAGGGCAGGGCATGCCAAGGAGTAGCCTAGGTCGGGTTCAGTAAGCTAGGGGAATGGGTAGAGTATGTCAGTAGGCGGGGGGGCGGTCGAGGGAGGTGGATCCACCCCCCCCCCTCCCCCCCCCCTCCCCCAGAAAAAATCCGTAGCGACGCCCCTTTCAGTAGGTAAGGTAGGGTACGTTAATGGGTAGGTAAGGTCAAACGGTCGGTAGGGTAAAAAAAGTAAAACTCACCCCTTATCATACTGACATCTCACAGTCTACTTCCCAATCTCCATTAAATTTCTTTAAAAATCACGCCGAGAAGAAAGAATATTGCCGTGAATTATTTATTGCGCACATTATTTATCCAAAAAAGTTCGAACTTTCGTTGAAACCATTTATTGGACAAGATGGTTAATATTTTATCGACTCAAGGTGGTTAATGGCTTTTAAAATTTTGTTTTAACAACATTTTGGGTCGTTCTTCGATCTGAAACTTCGATTTTTTAAAAATTTTTTTGTTTTTTAAAAAATGTGTCATTATGGCAGATTTTTTTTTGAAAAAATGCGTCGTCATGACAGATTTTTTTGAAAAAAGTTTTATCATTACGTTTTTATAAAAAATGTTAAAATTTGTATCAATTTTGTAAACTTTTTCACATACTTTAGGCTTGTTTAAAAATATGTCATCGTGACATATTTTTCTAAAAGACATGCCATCATGACAGGTTAGTTAACTATCATTAAACACGCGGTACAAAAAAGTCTTCAGTGTTAAAATTTTTTCCATCATACACAATTAATTTTTTAAAAAAATATGTCATCGTGACATTTTAGGCCATATGTATTATCATGACCGATTTATAGAAAAAATAGGTCTGTCTGACAATTTTTAGCCAAATTTGCTAATTTTGACAATTTTTCGAACTTTGAACCTTTTTAACTCAAAAATATGTCATAATGACACCTTTTTTTCTATTTGTTTGTATTTTTTTTTAATTCCACGCCAAATTGACTTTTACTCTAATGTTTACACTGAATGGGCCAAATTACGAAACATTCAGAATTCTAAACATGGATTCTGAAGCTTTTTTTATCTGTTTCCGCCTAATTTTGTCCAAAAATCTGCATTTTCCCTCAAATCCAAAGCTTTAATCTCACCTAATCCTTGAATATTATCTTGCGTTTGAGTTTATCACATTATACATGACTGCTTTAGGCCTTAAAACTGTTTTGAAACACTTTGTAATACTTATAAACTATTTTTCAGAGTCTTCCGGCATTAACTTCACTAATTTTCCATGAAATCCGAGCAGAATGAGGTTTATGATCAGATTGGAGAGAGCGATGCCAAGGATAATATCAAAAGTGGCCGTAAATTCGAAAGGCACAAGCATGGGACATTATTTGTGGTTACGATAGCTTATTTTCTTGATTGTATGCTAATAACAGTGGTTGGTGAGTTGTTTTAAACTTGTTTTGCATTTTTGAAGTTTTAGGTAGTGGTTTGGCATGGATAATATCAGGAACACGGCCATTTTTAAAACTAATGGTTTGAATTTCTGGTATTAGTTACAATAATGTTTTATCTATGTTTCCACAAAGTTTTATATTTGTTGGAGGTTTACTTTAGTCAATATGGCATTTTTTCTTGACTTAAATCACTATTTGCCAAGTGTAATATAATTTTTTGCTCAAAACCTTTATTTTAAAACTATTTTTTACCTAGCACAGATTAAAATTTTTATAAGGCTTATTTTAGTACCAATTTTGCCGCATTTTCTTACCCAGTTACAACAGGAACACGAGATTAACACCAGCGAACATTGGATTCAAGGTCCAAACGTTACCGAAGAAGAAAACTTGCAATATCTGGGGATTGGATACATCTTGTGCACTAAACCGTTAACTCAATTGTTTGTTAATCTATTTGCTGGGCCTTTGACTAGGCGGTGAGTTGTTCTACTTGTGTTTTATATAGTTTTAGGTGATCTGTGATGTTGTTCTTGACACTTTTGGTTTTGGGTTGCTTTTCTTAGTTTTGGTGGATTTATTGGAGTCGTTGGGTGTTATATTGGTTTTTATGATAGTTTTGATTATTTCTTTCATTACAGAATAGGTTATTCCATTCCAATGCTTGCTGGCTTCATCATAACCCTCATATCCATCATGATGTTCGCGGTTTCTCGCTCGTTCTGGATGTTATTCACCGCGAGGTCGATTCAAGGTGTTGGGTCAGCATTCACAGTGGCTTCGGGAATGGGAATGTTGGCTAAAGCTTACAATGATGATGATCATGAGCGAGGAAGAGCGATGGGATTGGCGTTAGCTGGTGTTAGCTTTGGTTTGATGGCTGGGCCTGTGTTCGGAGGATTCTTATACAACTATGGTGGAATTTACGCGCCGTTTGGGATTCTTGCTGGAATTACTGTGATTGCTATTGGTAAGTATTTGATTTTAGGTATATTTTGAAAAAAAAATTAATTTTTAAATTTTTTTAAATTTTTAGTGATTGAAATCATCCTTCTTCGGCCAAAAATTGAAGAACAACAGTCCAAATCCGGCTCATTACGTGAAGTAATATGCGATCCACAAGTCATAATAACAGCCCTTGGTATAGCCATTTCAAACTTTGGAATGGCGACCACAGAACCAACTATACCACTATTCATTCAACAGAAATGGGGAGTCAGTCCAACGCTACAAGGCCTAGTATTCCTACCATCCTCTCTGGCATCAGCCTTTTGTTCAACATATTTTGAGCCAGTTCTCGAGAAAATGGGCCGCTGGCTAGCAGCAATGATTGGTCTTCTCATCATCGCTGTTTGTGTACTAGTTATACCACTAATGCCTAACTATACCACCTTGTTGGGACCGGTTTTCGTGCTAGGATGGGGAGTGGCCATGGCTCAAACAGCACTGTTCCCTACGGTAAGCCAGATTGTGGATGCTAGACATGAAAATGCGTATGGAGTGGCGTTTGCCATCGCGGATTCGGCCGTTTGTTTGGCCTTCACGGTGGGTCCATCAATGTCAGAGGCGCTGGTTAAGGTCATTGGACTGGATAAGTAAGTTAGGGGGCTTAAAGGAAATTTTTTAGGGTTATAAGGCTTGGTTTTACCTGTTTTCTTAACATTTTATTAAAAATTTTGCTTTATTACGACTTTCCAAAAAATGCGTCATCATGACATATTTTCTAAAAAATTTGTCATGACATATTTTTCGAATAATTTGGTTTTTATGACATTTTAATTAAAAAATCTTGATTTTTGACGTTTTTTTAATAAAATGAAGTATTTTTAAAAATGTGTCATTACGACTTTCCGTTAAAAAAATGTGTCACCATGACATTATAATAATCAAAAATTTTTGAAATGATTACCTTTATTCAGTGATTTCGTAGGTTTTCCAACATTTTTAAATTATTATGAACCATTTTCAAATAAAGTTTTTAAAAATTTCGAATTTCAGAACCCTAATGGTGACAGCCGGCTTATGTGTTGGATTCATGCCATTTCTACTGTTCCTAAGGACGATAAAACCTAAAATAACGGTTGATGAAGGCAGCAAAAAGGCTACTGATGAAGAAAAATATTAGGACATTCAATTTTACAGTTGGTTTACGTCTTTTTTAACATTTTTTGGAGATTTTTAGCTAACTTTAGGAGACGAATTTTTATTTTTCAGCTAATTTTTAATCATTTTTTGAGTGTATTTTATAATAATTTTTATTTCTAAGTCTTGTTTTGCTAATTTCTAGGGTTTTTTTTTAACCTTTAACACAATTTTTATATAATAGTTCTAATCATATCTTAATATTGATCATATTAACGGTTAGGTAACTTGTCATGATCTCAATGATAAAACAATGTCATAAAGAATAGAAAAACAGTATTTTATAGTGATATATTGACAGTTTGTTATGATAAAATAGGTAATGCTAATAAATTTTTATAAAAAAATATTTTTTTGCCTAAGACTAGAAAAAGCTCGAAAAAATTTTTAAAAAAGAAAAAAAGCATTTTTTGGTGTAAAGTCAGTAAAATTGATCTATTAGGTGCCGACATAAAGAACCCGCCATACTATTCCTGTAATTTCCAGTAAAAGACGGCGGGTTCTTTATGTCGGCACCTAATAGAATGAGTATGACAAAGCTTGAAGATGAGTAAAAACAAGCTACAGATAAAAAAATATGGTCAATTAGACTAGAAAGAAGGCTCACTAGGCTTGGCTCTGCATCAGGTGGAGCCAAAGTATGTAAATTTAAAAGGGGCTCGGCCGGATCGTATGGATCCTAGAGTCGGGCCTAAATGAAGGCTTGACCTGGTCTTTTTACAGGTCTACGGTCCGGTCTCTTTACAGGCCTATGCTTGATAAGTTAAAATTGGAAAAAAAGTATAATATGAACCATCATATCTATTGGTTTCCCCTCACGTCAAGAAAAAATAATAGAAAACCGCACGCATAGAGAAAAATCTTTGGCATTCTGCAACAAGAAGAGAATAAACCTGTTCGACTTTAACAATTTTTTACTGATAGTTATTGGAAATTTAACATAGAAACTTTTTATAAGAAACCTTATTTAACACCCAAAGTTTTATTTACAACAGCCATTATAGCCAATTTGACTTTATCCGTTGTTTATGATCAGTCTGAAAATATGGTTTTCTAAAACCGTAAAATCATGTATAACTTTACAACGAGCACGCAATGGGCTAGAGATCTCTTCATAGGTAGACGTAGAATAAAATAACGATTAATTTGATACCAAAAACACCAAAATCTAAGGAGTAGTTTTTGAGTTATGAATAAAACACGATATTATATTATCCATGGCCAAATAATTTTGGCGGCAATTCCGTTCACGATGAAAAAAAATTAATTACCAATCAGGTTTTTGTTTGAATAAGCTTGATCTCGTTGTCTTTTTATTGTTATTACTACTTTGTTTGTGTCTGATCCATAAAATATTTTCTCTAAATATTATTTTTTCTTCTTATTTCACAATGCCAAAATTCCGTTCAATACCCAGCGGAAGGTTAGCTTTTTCTTGACGTGCCCCTTTTTTTTTACATCACAAATCGCCATCGATGTTAAAATTGATAACGAAAAATGTGATCGAATATTATTAAAGGTGTGTGATCAATAAACATGTGCTTTCAAGTTGGGAGGTTTTTAAAGGGTTACCTTTATTTTTTTATTTATTGTTATAAATTTTTTGACTTATTGGTTTTTTTAAATTTGTTTATTTTTTCAATTTTAAACGTGCTGTTGATGTTTAGAAAGGTAGCCAAGGTAGGCCTGGTTAAGGATAGGGTAGAGCATATGTAGACATAGGGTAGGAATTGTAAGTCAAAGAGTAAGGGTTGGATATGGTATCATTAATCAAGATAAGGTGGGGCATGGTAGTCAGGGTAGGGTAGAGAAACCGTAGGGCAGGGTAAAGTAGTGTAGTGCAGATAGAGTTGGGTAGGGTATCTTTAATCTTTGTACTTTTTTTGTCTTGTTTACCAAAGTAAATAAACAAAACCGTTTTTTAATTAATTTTACTTACATCAACCTTTGTGGAAAATGAAGAAAATGACACGCATTTTTTAAATTTTGGGTTTTAACTGACCTTAAAATTTTAAAAACTGCTTTACTATGAAAGCTAGGGTAGGCTATCCTGCCCTACCCTGCTCTACCCTACCCAACTTTACTCTAGCTTTCTTTACCCTACACTGCTCTACCCTATCCCACTATACCCTACTCTACCTCCGACGGAAGTTTGACGATATGACACATCCTTTTTGTCGCTTATTAAATCGCCAATGACCAGTTCTCGATAAACGTCTTATCACGCGACGGTCTCCGCTCTACTCTTTTTTATCAGTTTATTCCAGCAGCTAAACTTTATTTACTTTAGTGTAATATTAAGAACGGTTTTTAGCACATTTGGTGGTTGATATACGTTTATATTTTCTTGTTTTTATACTTTAAAGCGGTGTAAATTAGTTTTTTAGGGCGATATTTTAGTGGAATATACTGTGAAGTATAGTTTGGACATTTTTTAGTGACATAGAGATAGTTAGAGGTAGTGAAACATCAAAAAATATTGAGAAAACCCTTCTGTAACATCAAAGCTACGTCAACAGAATCAAGATGAGGATTGGATTTATTGGGGCAGGTAAAATGGCCCAAGCCTTGGCTAGAGGCTTGATTCATTCAGGTAAGTTCTGCCTAATTTTTAATTTTTTAGGTTGATGCAAAAAGAATGGCATGTTAGCAAATTTTAAATAATCGTTATGAAACTTACTTCACAATGCCAATATTTAAATGATAAAACAATATTTTAGGTAAATACGACGCCTCAAAAATGATAGCCAGCTCACCCAAAACGGACTTTAAACTTCTTGAAGAGTGTAATGTGAGTTCGTGTTTCAGTTTTTTATCTGAGATTTGAAGTTTACGTTGTATTTAGACCTAGAAGGGGGCCCTAGACCCAGCTTCGATCCGGCTCTTAGCTAGTTTGGGCTGGGCCGGCACATTTGGGTCCGAAGGTCAGAGCTTAAACCCAGGTTCCAGAGGCTGGTGGGCCGTGCTGTGCCAAAGCTAAATAAAAAGGGACTGGGCTGGCACATGCGGATCAGAAGGCTAGGACTTAAAGCAAGGCTTCAGGGGCCAGTGGGCCGGGTCGGGCTGGCAATTGAAGTCCGCGTGCTTGCGCTACCAATTAGACTCGGTCCTGGGCTTTTGCAGGTCTAGAGTATTACAACAAACGTTTTTCTAACAAAAGTGGACAAAGTTAATATTAATTAAGAATTGGGAAGATAAGAACACCGTATTTTACTCTAACTGTTTTACAGTACAATTATTTTACATTTTAACAATTTACAAACGAAATACAAGAAAAATTTGCAGAAAATTGGAATCAACACAACGCACGATAACACAGAAGTTGCCAAGAACGCTGACGCCATTTTTCTGGCCGTTAAACCTTTGCACATTAGCAAAGTCGTGTCAGAAATTGCTCCAATTATCAAAAGAGAACACTTGTTAATCTCAATTGCACTTGGTATCACCATTCGGTACATTGAAACGGTAAATTTTGAAGAAAATTTCTAAAACTTACTTTGCGCTACAGCCAGGAGTAAAACGAGAAGGACAATTACAGTATAACTCTTATGTAATCCGCAAATTAAAAACCCTTGAACGATGTTATACAGGTGCTCTACTGTATTTTTACAACCAAACCAAACACTACCTTGTAAGAAAAAAAAACTTTTTAGCTAGTCCCAGCGAAAACCCGAGTAGTTAGGGTAATGCCAAACACACCGGCGCTAGTCAGTGCCGGAGCTTCGGCTTATTCCATGGGTGCAGCTTGTCTTGATGGGGACTCGGAAACCGTTCAAGATATGTTAAAAACGGTTGGCTACGCGGTGGAAGTCCCTGAACTATATTTGGATCCAATCACTGGACTCAGCGGCTCTGGTCCTAGTTATGTAAGCTTTTGTTCATTTTTTGGTTTTAGGTAGCAATAATCTTTTCTTCGATAAAATTCAGGGACATAAAGGTAGTTATCGATAGTTTTAGTCATCGATTGATTTACCATTGCGTAACTATTCGATCTCTTTCAGGTATTCGCCATGATTGAAGGCCTAGCCGACGGTGGAGTGAAGCAAGGTCTACCACGTGATTTGTCAATCCAACTAGCTGCTCACACTTTTCACGGTGCCGCCAAAATGGTCCTGGAAACCGGCGAACATCCAGCTATTCTAAAAGAAGCCGTCCAAAGCCCCGGAGGCTCTACCGTGTACGGAATTCACGAATTGGAGAAAGGAGCAATGCGCGGCGTCATCGTGAATGCCGTGGAAGCGGCTACGAAACGATCCCGCGTGACTGGCGAGAACCTGCTTCCCAAAACGTCAGTGATTTACCGCAATGACTAGATAGTTGGTTTGACTAACTTATATTTATTTTTGTAACCCGCACTAAACGTTCTTTCACAATAAATTATTTTTTTATTTAGGCACAGCCTTGTTTCGAGTATTTATCGTGTTAATTTTAGGGAAGAACAGGACGACAATGAGGAATCGGAAAATGCTGACGACACTGAACGCACAGCTAAGTAAATAGTTGTCCGGATGTTTTTTACAATTTTACAAATTTAGTGCATGAAATTGAAAAATAGTGGTTTAGGAATAGTTCAAGTATTCAAGTAGTTTTTAACTAATTATTAGGTTGCAATAAAAATAGCGGGACACTTTTTAGTTGAAAAATAAATGAAGAGTGTCCCACTACTTTTGGTTCCAATGGTTTTATAATAGCTTTATAGTAGTTTTAGGTAATATTTGTATGTTTTAATACTAAGTAATGTTATATTAGGTTGTTGGGATGATTCTGTACCCCATTTCTCCGAATCTTTTTTTTTGGCTTTGAAAGGGGGCAACGAATTACTTGCACAATCTAATACATTGTCTAGTACTATCTTTATCGCATTGTAAAACCAAGTTTCCTACACTATATATGTAAAACTATGAAATTTACTGCCATGAAACAGATTATGACATTAATTGTTTTTGAATACTATGTATTCGTCAATTAACATATGCACAAGATACTAATAAATTTTACAATTTTGAGTCGACGTTACAATCACAAAAAAGAAAAAAAATATCGATAATTGCTACTCATGGTTGGTCTGTAGAACTACAATCAAACCTCATCACTGCTATTTAAAACTTGCATATAGCTGATACTAAATAAAAAAAACGCAAAAGAAACAAATACATTAAAGAAACAACATATTATAAGGGGACTTCTTTACATGGAAGATCCTATTAGGCTTCAACTGTATACTCCAAAAGAAATAATCTTCAACTGTACAACTCCAAAGAAAATATTAATTAACACATTTATTCAGATACGAGTTTGTTTTACAAAGAATAGGTTTTTAACATTGACCGCACGTCTTGGGACACGCGTACAACATGTAATCCTTTGCCGTTTTGTTCGTGGTCGAACAGTTACCAATGAAGGAAGCGCAGTTCGTCGCTTTGTCAACGCAATCCGACGACGCTGCTGGGGCTGCTGCTGGGCACAGACCACAAGTGTTTTTACAATAGGTCTGAATCTTTTCTGACGATGAACATTGTGATTTGAACTGGGCACAGTTTGTGGCTCCGTCATCGCATGCTGCAAAAACAGAATTGACAAGACTATGTAATGTACAATACGACTAAAATACAACGGTGTCATGTAGTATAAAAAATTTTTTGTCAATATGCTTACGAGCTTGTGTTTCAGCAGCTGGCGGATCGGCTGGAATAGCAGGGGCTGGCGCAGCGGTTGATGAACATAATCCACAAGTGTTCTTACAGTAGGTCATAACCTTTTGCGAAGTCGAACACTGACTAAGGAACTCTTGACAGTTGGTTGCACCATCATCACATGCTAAAAAGCAAAGTTAATTATTCTGTCAGTTAAATTTTAAAGATAACTTACGAGTAGTAGTACTAGGAGTTGTTGGAGTAGTTGGTGTAGTAGGCGTTGTTGGAGTTGTGGGTGTTGTTGGCGTCGTGGGGGTGGTTGGAGTGGTAGGAGTAGTTGGTGTTGTAGGTGTAGTGGGTGTGGTTGGAGTCGTTGGGGTTGTCGGTGTAGTTGGAGTAGTAGGAGTTGTTGGTGTAGTTGGGGTTGTAGGAGTAGTTGGTGTAGTCGGGGTAGTTGGAGTTGTTGGAGTCGTTGGTGTTGTAGGCGTAGTAGGCGTGGTAGGAGTAGTAGGTGTGGTTGGAGTTGTAGGGGTGGTTGGGGTTGTCGGTGTAGTTGGAGTTGTGGGAGTGGTTGGAGTGGTTGGGGTCGTTGGCGTAGTGGGTGTGGTAGGCGTAGTTGGAGTTGTAGGAGTAGTTGGAGTCGTGGGGGTAGTTGGAGTAGTGGGTGTGGTTGGAGTGGTTGGTGTAGTTGGTGTGGTAGGTGTAGTTGGGGTTGTAGGGGTGGTTGGAGTCGTGGGTGTTGTTGGGGTAGTTGGAGTAGTAGGTGTAGTAGGCGTGGTAGGAGTTGTAGGTGTCGTAGGTGTAGTTGGAGTTGTGGGAGTGGTTGGAGTAGTTGGGGTCGTTGGCGTAGTGGGTGTGGTAGGTGTAGTTGGAGTTGTTGGGGTAGTTGGAGTAGTAGGCGTAGTTGGAGTGGTAGGAGTAGTGGGTGTGGTAGGTGTAGTCGGAGTTGTTGGAGTAGTAGGTGTAGTGGGTGTGGTTGGGGTTGTGGGAGTGGTTGGAGTAGTAGGCGTGGTAGGGGTAGTAGGAGTGGTTGGAGTAGTAGGGGTAGTGGGTGTTGTTGGGGTAGTTGGAGTGGTAGGAGTAGTGGGTGTAGTAGGCGTGGTAGGGGTAGTAGGAGTGGTTGGAGTAGTAGGTGTCGTTGGAGTTGTGGGGGTTGAAGGAGTGGTTGGTGTCGTTGGGGTTGTAGGGGTAGTTGGAGTAGTAGGTGTGGTAGGAGTCGTGGGGGTAGTGGGTGTGGTAGGTGTAGTTGGAGTAGTGGGTGTTGTTGGGGTAGTTGGAGTGGTAGGAGTAGTGGGTGTAGTAGGCGTGGTAGGGGTAGTAGGTGTAGTAGGAGTAGTGGGTGTGGTAGGTGTAGTTGGAGTTGTAGGAGTAGTGGGTGTTGTTGGAGTAGTTGGAGTAGTAGGTGTAGTAGGCGTAGTAGGGGTAGTAGGAGTGGTTGGAGTAGTAGGGGTAGTGGGTGTTGTTGGCGTGGTAGGGGTAGTAGGAGTGGTTGGAGTAGTTGGAGTAGTAGGTGTACTAGGCGTAGTTGGAGTGGTAGGAGTAGTGGGTGTGGTAGGTGTAGTTGGAGTTGTTGGAGTAGTAGGTGTAGTGGGTGTGGTTGGGGTTGTGGGAGTGGTTGGAGTCGTTGGCGTAGTGGGTGTTGTTGGGGTAGTGGGTGTAGTTGGGGTTGTAGGAGTCGTGGGGGTCGTTGGAGTAGTTGGTGTGGTAGGGGTAGTAGGCGTGGTAGGAGTTGTAGGTGTAGTAGGTGTAGTTGGAGTAGTGGGTGTTGTTGGGGTGGTAGGTGTAGTTGGGGTTGTAGGGGTGGTTGGAGTCGTGGGTGTCGTAGGAGTAGTAGGCGTGGTAGGTGTTGTTGGAGTTGTGGGCGTAGTAGGAGTAGTTTCTGTCGTTTCTGAAACATCGTGCTAATTTGCAAAAAACTAAAAATATAAAAACTTTTTTTGAGTATTATAAAAAATTTTAGATCGTTAAAATATTTACCTTCCTCACTGCTAGCAAACGGCCAAACGGCACTAGCACGTAAGAATAACAGGAACAATATCGCAACTGGCAATCGCATTGTGTATGTTCGAGGTCAAAGCTCGAATTGAATATGGTGTGATAGGCTCATTCCGCTTCCTTAAATGCCTTCCAGTTTTTTTGACAAAACATTATTGGAGCAGCTAACAACACAGTATCATGAACTCAAAACTTTCAAAACGGTGTATTTGCACAGCTGCCGACAATGACAGCATCGTTTTACAACTGTCGGACGTGAAGTTTATAGTTAATTTGTTTGTTCAAACGAGGTTTAGTAATCTAAATATCGAAGCTTCTGGAAGCTGATGATTAGCGTTTGGCATTACGTATGTGCATGTTTTTTATAAAAAAATGTAACTTAAATTTGTGTAACTTATTACAGCGAGAAAGAGGGAAATAATAAATCACTGTTTTGATGTTTTGAAGCTTGTTATGGATAAAGTAGAGGCATCTGTGAATTTTTTAAAATTTTTTGCGAAAATCAACACATCGGCGGCACGCTCAGCTTTTTTCAAAATTTTTTATTTTGTAAAAAAAGTTTTTTCTAAAACTCAAAAATTATCAAAAATACCATTGTACATCGCCGTAAACAAAGTTATTGCCAAAAAAAATAATTTTTGCACCGTGCAGCGCTATTTGTCTGTTTTTGCACAGTGCCACAGCGCGGTCCCGTCCGATCTGACAAGTTAAGCAACGGTGCGCTTGATTATAAAAAGTTCGAGGAACACTGGGTGGAAAAAAAGTTTTTCGAGTTTTCAGGGTGCTGAAAGAAAGTTTTTGCCTTTTTATTGTGTTGTGTTGAGAATTTTGGGATTGTAAAGCAAGTTTTGACCAATCTTGACAAAACGAGTTTTTCACTTGAGTAGCGATTTTAAATAAAAATTTTAAAGATACTCTTCCTAAAGGTGTTGGTTTCAACCTTTTATTTAAAAAAACTTATTTAATGCTTTTTTTAAAATTATTTTGAAAAAACAATTGAAAACATGAGAGCCCAAATCACATTTACGAATACATGAGCTTTGCAAACAACTTTTTGCAAAACCCACGTCAAAGCGATGTCTGCAAGTTCGTCTGCGTATACAATGACAGAGGTATTTTTGTCTGTACTTTATTATCTGTGTTGATAATGTTTTGCTAAAAAAAGGTTTGTCTTTTTTAAAAGTGGAGGTTCATATACATTGACGACAAACCTTTTTTGAAGTTTTATGATGCATTTTGATACATTATGATACGTCTTTTGATACCTTATGATACGTCTTTTGACACCTTGTGATAGATATTATCAGTTGTGAAGATAATTTGTGTTAAAAAAAGTTTTGTCGTTTTTGACCGTGCAGAACAATGTTACTTGACGACAAAACTTTTCGAAATTTTAAAAATAAATTTAAAAACCTAAAAATTCGGTATTAATCAAGTTTATTTCTGGGTTTTTTCTCCTCCCGCATTTTGTCAAAGTACCAGTCGGTTTCAGTGTTGTTGATGAGCCACTTCTCGAAGACGGCCATCAGGCTTTGGGCGTAGTAAAACGTGTTGAACATTAGGGAAAGCCACCAAATATACGCCATTCGCGAGGATTCAAAAGTGTCACAAAGGTCACGGTGCATTTGGCCGACTCCTTGGCTGAAAATATTGTGATTAGTTGACATTTCGCATCATTATTGAGTTGTGACGTTTTGCAACATTATGGATTTTTTAAAAATATGTTTCCTGGTTTAAAATTTTATTAAAATCATTTTTGGTCGAAAAGATATGTTAACAAACTCACTTTGAAATTGCAATCAGAATACGAATTTCAAATAACATCCATACGAACAGACACACGAACTCCACTTGATCCTCAAACATGTCACCAACTGGAGTCGGGAAATTCCATTCGTTGACTGGCTTCAGACGTCGTTGACGAACTCCAAACTCAGATTTACAAATTTCACAGCGCTGGAATTACGAAAATTTTTACAAAAACTTTCTTTACAATGCAAAAAATGGCAAGAACTTTCTTTCCAAAACATAAAATGGCAAAAACTTTCTTTACAAAACAAAAAATGGCAAGAACTTTCTTTACAAATTCAATCAAAACTTTCTTTACAACCATCAAAAAGCTCTTACCTGCTTTCCAGAAGCCTTGAGCCATTCTTTCATGCAAAACCGATGAACCCTGGCCTGAGTACCACTACATAAACAAGGTCGTACCATATCACTTGGGCCATCCTCTTCTAAACAAATGCGACAAATTGGGATCTGATCACTCAACAACGCGGTTCTGGTCGAGATGTCATCTCGAGAGCGTGTGGCCAACATTACATCTGAAGGCGGCGATTTTAAGAAAAATCGACCGGTCGGTTTTTGGAAATATTGCGAAAATTGCGAGAACTAAAAGTTTCAAAAAATGGGTTGAAAAGAAAATTTGAAACGATTTTTTAAATTAAAATTTTGGAATTTTTTTGAATTTTAAAAACAGTTAAAAATTTAACGAAATATAAAATTTAAAATATGAAAATGAGTTTAAAAGTTGTCCGAAAAAACAAAATCACACTACTTTTTTAATTGAGTTATTTATCAGTGAGTCAAAAAAAACAACAAAGAGAAAACAACACAGTTCATAAACATTAATATTTATAATTATATGATCGTTAATATCTATCGAAATACCGAAAAAAAACGTGCTTTTTGAATGAAAGTGCAACAAATACACAATTTATTTTACTGTGCAAGGTGGTAGTAACGAAAAATTGAAGAGATGGGCCTATTTGATCGCGACTGGCCTAGAGATTGCCATTTTTTTCCTAACGACGACAAATAAAGGTGTTGAAATTGGTACTTTTAGTTAAATCATGATGGAAACTCTACTCTTTTTATAAATTATTTGACTGTCTAAATATATATATCTCTATGTGATATTTATATTATTTATTTATCATTTTGTAAAAATCAACAACGTTAACAGTTATATACAAACATATATTAAGATATTTAGTCACTGGGTTTATTATTAAGCCTAGTGTTTTGTTATGTTAGCCTATTAATCGACCAACATTAAGAACTCGAGGTCTTAGGTGTTCAAACTTGTGTTGCTATGATCAAGGCAACCAAAACTTTTTTGGCATCTTCGTTTTCTGGCCGGTTCTTCTTCCAGGTCTTCTTCTGCTCGCCGTTTCCTTCAGAGAACCTCATTTTTTCTTAGCTCCGGCCGTTTGACCTGATTGTCCTGGAATAAAGGTAAGTTAAACAGGTATTGCGCTTTAGTTTAGACCACTGATAGATAAATAAATGTCAATGTTTATGATAAATGTTAGTATTTATAAGTACAAAAAAACTTACAATGTCCATTTCAAGGACCCTTTCTTCGGCTTTTTTCAGCCTATATTTGAATAATTCGACCCGGAGATCGAATCTGTCGATTGGCACTGGGACCAATCTTTCTTTTCTTGGTTGACGAGCCGGTGAGGGCTCAAATCTGAGGTGAGCCCTGGGTGGAGGCACTTCGGCTCTGAACGGAAGCTTAACAGCCTCCAAAACGTCGACGTCCATGGCGTCAAAGGCGGACATTTTTTATCTGAAATTTGAGAAGTTACAGTATTAATGTATCAAAAACGCAAAGCTCGATGTTGTCTCAAGTTTGTTGTTGCCGTACCGATCCTTATGGGTTCATGTTCCCTCCGGGATTTTAATTTTTTTTCAATTTTGCACTGACGAGAAAACTGCCCGATCTGCCCCACTCTGATTGATGTAAATGTAAGATTTAAAGCAAAATACTAAATTTTCTAGTCAGTTTTGAGAAAAGAGATCAAATAAGTATTGGGTGAACCAAAAGTAGCGGGATACTTTGTATTTTGAATGAAAAAGTGTCCCGCTACTTTTGAATTCATCGCCGTGTTGGAAAGCTGATTCTGGGCGGGCAAGTAGAGCACTTTCTTCATACGCCCATTATAATCTGACACCAAATATTAAAAAAATTAAAAAAAGTTTTTAACAAAAAAGGAAATTTCAGCCTAGAACTAGTCCTAATCTAGCTATACTCTAATATTGCCCTGCGACATTGCCGGTGCACATATATAAGAAAACGGAATAAAGGATAGAATAAAAAAGGCCAAGAAAACGGGTTTTGATACAAATGAAAAAAGTTTAGATCAAGAATTTACTCTGCGAACTTTAGTGCTAGTTGTTACGTAATTACCTCGAGATCAACTCATTTAAGCTTATTTGTGCGCTTTTTGAATAGTATCTATGTTTCGTGCGCGATAAGACTGAGTTTATATATCAGAGCTCGATAAAAATTTAAATTTCTATAGTGATAAGTGTGTGCCATATCATCTTTGGTTTTTTTAATTTAATTATGCGATTTTTCTGAACTGATCTAAAAGTAACTATGTTTAAACTATTATCTAAACAGAAGTTCTACTGTATTTAACTTTATGTTTCACTACAAAGATCTTTTTTTTGTTTTGCGAAACATTTTTAAAAATTCTAACGTAGACTTGTTTGACAAGTTGTTTTTTCTTGCGTCTTAATACTTTCCCGCAGGGAGTGAGGCAGGTGCCATCTTGGGGAAACGAAATTTAGAGCTCACCTGCTTTTGAATACGTTGAAAAGGTAAACAAATTGACTAGAGTTTTAATTTTTTTATCAATTTAACATCACTTGAAGGTGTCAAGAGGCCTCTTAGAGGTGGATGCTCTGTTAAAATTGTTGTTTGTAATTTTGTGGAAAATTGAGGTTTGTAAAGGAAGTTCTTGTCAATTTTTACTTTTTAAACATAGTTCTTGCTATTTCTTCTTCTGTAAAGAAAGTTCTTGCAATTTTTTGTTTTGTAAAGAAAGTTCTTGCAATTTTTTCAATTTCAAAAGGAAGTGTAAATGTTCAACCTTTTCAGACGGCTTTAAATACTTTTAAAAACAACTAACTATGATGTTGTTTACCTTTGTTGAGCCTCGTTTTCCTTTTTACATTAAAGTAATTACCGTAAAAACACTAGTTTTCTATCGTTTTTCCTTGTTTTATCACAATTTTTTAATTGAAAAAAAATAGAACATGAAAAAACTTTGTTTCCACATATTGTTCTTCAAACTTTTTATAATCAAGCGCGCCGTTGCTTAACTTGCCAGATCGGACGGGATCGATCTTTCGCACTGTGCAATGAATACAAATGGTGGTGCACGATGCAGAAATTAAGTTTTTGGCAACAACTTTGTTTACAATAACCTAAAATGGCGTTTTTGAAGATTTTTGAATATTTGGAAAAAACTTTCTTTACAATTTGTTTTAAAACTTGGTAGTGGTCAGTTATTTGGAAAACCTGCAATAACTTTGTTTACAATGATAAAAAATTTTATTTCGGAACAAAATATTTTGTCAAAATAGCAAGAACTTTCTTTCCACATTAAGAAAGGAGCTGAGAATGTTTTTCAATCGTGTTTAAGCGTTCCTTTCGTATAACTTGTCACCTGCAGTCTGCGAAACTTAAAATTATAACTTTTTCTCAAATTTTCAAGTATTTTAATTGTCATTATGAGAGGTTATCGTATATAACTCAAGTCCAAGAGTACATATCGTTATGCTTTCAACCCTGACTGAACCTGTTAACAACAAAAACGACGTATTAACAACGGGCGATCACGCCACAGGGTACTTTTACCTTAATCACCTTTTCTCTTTTTGTAAAATGTTATAAATATGTGAAGTGTATAAGTTGACAGCTCTTTGTTTTGTCACAAAACACAGACTTTTGGGTTCATTCCTAGACTTTACTCTTGGTTGAAAGGTTTTTAAGTTTTTAAGTTATAGGGGTTTTAAGTGAACTTTTCGATTTGTAAAGAAAGTTCTTGCCATTTTTTAATTTGTAAAGAAAGTTCTTGCCATTTTATGGTTTGTAAAGAAAGTTCTTGCCATTTTTTGTTTTTGAAAGAAATTTTTGCCATTTTTTGTTTTGTCAAGAAAATTCTTGCCGTTTCTTGTTCTGTAAAGAAAGTTATTGCTGTTTTTAAAAATACTCCTTAAAATTTAAAATTTCATAAAAATTTTGTAAAGAAAGTTTCTTCCAAAACTAAAAAATCTTCAAAAATACAATTTTAGATCGTTGTATACAAAGTTATTGCCGAAAGTTTAATTTCTGCACTGTGCAGCGCCATTTGTCTCTTTTGCACAGTGCGAAAACGCGATCTCGTCCGATCTGGCAAGTTCAGCAACGGTGCGTTTGATTATAAAAAGTTCGGGGAACGCTGGAGAGAAAAAAAATTTTTGGGCGTTTTAATGTGTTGGAAAGAAAGTTTTTGACATTTGACTCTCATTCAAGGGTAAAAGTAAGGGTAAGAATAGTAGGGCAGGTTTTTGTGGTTTTTAGGGTAGTAGAAGGAAAGTTTTCGTTGTTTTTTGTTTTGTAAAGAAAGTTTTTGCCATTTTTTGTTTTGGAAAGGAATTTCTTGCAATTTTTACTTTGTAAAGAAAGTTCTTGCCATTTTTGGTTTTGTAAAGAAAGTTTTTGCTGTTTTTTGCTTTGTAAAGAAAGTTCTTGCAATTTTGTGTTTTGTAAAGAAAGTTCTTGCAATTTTGTAGTTTGTAAAGAAAGTTCTTGCAATTTTTAAATTTTTTTCAAAATTTTTGTAAAAGCGGTTGTATACTATCTTGCCAATATTACGTTGTCTATCCTAACAATATCATTTTGTCTATTTTGCCAATTCTATGTTGTCTACCCTGCCAACACATATATCCTTATGTCTACATGAACATACACACCATCCCTAATCTCGTGGTATAATCTAATGCCTTCTTTTTGTAGATTTTTGCGGATTTTTCCTTTCCCATTGCCAATCTTTCTTTTTTCGGCCGAAATTTTATCAGACATCGCGGAAGGGAACGTTTTGTTTGTCGAAACGCGTTCGACGTAAGACAATATTCATACTTCTTTGGCCGCCCCTCCTTTAAAGTGCATTCCAAATTGTTTCGTGTAATTTAATTTGAATTGGTTTGGGCTTAAAGGTGGTCTGGAAGGAATGTTTCTTCGGTTTTCGGAAAACTTTTTCAAGGGTGGAAATAAAGTTTTTGCACTTTTAAGCATTTTTTTTTGATAAAAGTTTGAAATTTGGGTTTTGTAAAGAAAGTTTTTGCCATTAAAAAGTTTGTAAAGAAAGTTCTTGCCATTTTTGTTTTGTAAGGAAAGTTCTTGTCATTTTTTATTTTGTAAAGAAAGTTCTTGCCATTTTATGTTTCGTAAACAAAGTTCTTACAATTTCATGTTTTGTAAAAAAAAGTTTTTGCCATTTTAAAGTTTGTAAAGATAGTTTTTGTCATTTTCTGTTTTGTAAAGAAAGTTCTTGCCATTTTTGGATTTGTAAAGAAAGTTCTTGCTGTTTTTTTACTCTGTAAAACGAGTTTTCGACATTTTTATCTGTATATGTAATTCGCGCGTACATTAGTTAAACCAACTTATGTACGCGCTCGGCCGTACGCAAGTTGTCATTTTTTGTTTTGTAAACAAAGTTTTTGCCATTTCTTGTTTTGTAAACAAAGTTCTTGCAATTTTTTCTTTTGTAAACAAATTTTCTGCTATTTACTGCAAAATGTTTCTATTTTTTAAAGTTTTAAACCTTTTGAAATGATGACTTTTCTTCCTAATGCTTTTGTTTTTGCTTAACCGGAACTGGAATATATCCGGGATGGATTCTGTCGTGCTTGTTTTTGGCCAAGATATACGTATGTTTACACTAATATCTATATATTTTGAGGTTTGCAGTTTACTATAGAACCATTAGAACGCTATTTTTAATTTGTAAAGGTGTAACAAAAACTTTTCTGCGCGTCGAAAAATGTCAAAAACAGTGGGTTTAAACTTAAAAATTGAAAAGAGTGCCACTTTTTATAAAATAAAAATAAGAAATGCAAAAACTTTCTTTTCATAACTCCAAAAACGTTTTTTCACCCCGAGTTTTTGAACTTTTTATAATCAAGCGCACCGTTGCTTAACTTGCCAGATCAGACGGGAGCGCGCTTTCGCACTGTGCAGAGAAGACAAATGGCGTTGCACGGTGCAGAAATTAACTTTTTGGCAATAACTTTGTTTATTGTGACCTAAAATGTCGTTTTTGAAATTTTTTTGAGTTTTGGAAGGGACTTTCTTTACTATTTTTTAAAGCAGATATTTTGGTTTGCTATATGGAAAAACTGCATAACTTTGTTTACAAGGAACAAAATGGCAAGAACTTTTTTTAAGCAACAAAAAATGGCAAGAACTTTCTTTACAAACCAAAAAAATGGCAAGCTATTGCTTAACAGAAGCAAAAATGCCATTTTTTTTGTACTTTATACCTAAAACTATAAAATATATTTTTAAACTATAGTATTTCAAAACTCTCTCTAAATTACTGTGTATTCATCTGTTTAAAAGTCCGTAGTAGGCAATTACAACGGTATTTACAACTTAATTACATATGATAATAACCCCCCCCCCTCCCTCCCTTTGGTGTCATTATGGCTCTCGTATATGGGCTAACAAGCCGTTTTACTCTACATTTACATTTAGTTGTGTTTTACCGAGTATTGGAGTCAGGTGTATAAACAATTACATTTTGAGTTTAATGTAATTGTTTGTATATACAATTTAACATGTATATCTTGTGTAATCTACATATTTGGTTTGTTGGGTTGAAATAGGAAGGCAGAGCGTGTGTTTGTAGGCTACAGTACTCTACCCTACCCTACCCTACGCTACCTTACCCTAACTTATCCCATCCTGCCCTGCGTGGCCCTGCTTTTTGCTACTTTGTCAAGCCTTGCCCTACCTATCCTCTCCAGCCGAGTCCTGCCCTAACCTGCCCTTTTCGGCCCTGCCCGATATTGCCTTGCCCAACTTAACTCGACCGTACACTGACTTAACCTATATTACCCTGCCCTATCTCATCCTACTTTTTTCTATCCTATCTCACCCTACCTTACCCTGCCCTATGCTATCTTACCCTACCCTGCTTTACCCTATCTGCCTTTGCGTTTTTTTACCTTACCCTACCTCATAGCTTCGTCCTCTCCCTATTAACCCCCACGAGGGGTAAATTTTTTTTTCGGTTTTTGACTAATTTGGTCATGCTCTACAACTTGTATGTACCAGTTTTTCACCAGTCCAATGCGCGGTGGGGACCTTTCCTTGTAAATAAAAACACTTTTCATCGTATAACATGTCCCTTTCGGTTTTTTTGAAAATCGTTATATTCAAATTAGGTTCGTTTCCGCGTTCATTGCCGACGTGAAAACCGTTTTTTGTTTCATTTTCGAGATGAATTTTGATAATTTTCTAGAATTTGGAAGCGGTCGGGGGTGGCCATCGGAACGGGTGGGAGTGGAGCATGGACAACAACGACATTGTGGACACGAAAAAAGAAAGCCTGGCCAGTGATTCGAGCGTAAGTTGGAGTGATCGTGGAATGTAGTTGGAGTTCAATAGCAGAAACTTTGTTTACAGGTTGAAAAATTAGCAGAAACTTTGTTTACAGGCTGAAAAAGAGGCGGAAACTGCGATTTTTATGCTAAAGATTAGGTTTTTGATGTTGTTTTAGATGGAAATTGATGTTTTAAGCGGCTTAATAAGTCTTATTAGATGTAGAAGGATTGATCTTAAATTCTCTTGGGTTTATAATTGCAGGAATTTAGTTTACAGCTTGAAAAAAACCTAAAAAAATTGTGTTTTCGGTGTTAAATTTGGGTTAAAGCAAGGTTTTTGATGCTGTTTTACATGGAAACTGATGTTTATAAGCTGCTTTGTAGGTATTATTAGATGTAGAAAAGATCGATCTTGAAGTATATTGGGTTTACAATTGCAGGAATTTAGTTTACAGCTTGAAAAACTTCAAAAAACCGGAGTTCACTGTGTCCAATTTAGGGTAAAACAAGGTTTTTTGTTGTTGTTTTAGGTATAAACTAATTTTTTGAACTGTTTTTGAAATTAAAATGGATTAATCTTGCTATATATTGACCTCGAGAATACATAAATTTAGTTTACAGCTTGAAAACAGGTCGAAAAGTTGCGTTTTCAGCTCAAATTTGGCCGAACCAAGGTTTTTTTGATGTTATTTTAGGTATAAATTGATTTTTTGAGCTGATTTCAAGAGTGAAATAAATGTTTTATGAAAGATATTGATCAGTATTTTAGTACACATCTAAATTTGAGCTCAGACAAGACATTGATATTGTTTTACGTAACAAAAAGTGGGTGGGTATTGTAGTTGGTATAAGTTGATGTTTTTATGCTTTTTTTAGTACGAAGATGGTGTAATTTGCTAAAATAAGGTTGAGCATTGTACCGAAAATTAAAATTTCGCCATAAAAATTCAATTTTTGTTGTTTTAGATAACAAAAGTTACGTGGATATTGCAGTAGGTAAAAGGTGATGTTTTAGACTTTTTTTTAATAGGATGATGGTGTAATTTGCTAAAATAAGGTTGTGTATGGTACTAACGATCAAAATTCAGCCTTAAAAATGCAGTTTTTATTGTTTTAGGTAACAAAAATAAGGTTTTTTGATAATATAACTTTGTTCGAAAAATTCTGAGCTACCTTACTCTGCAAATTCGCTTGAGAGATGGCTCAGAATTTTTTGAACAATTGTAGAGGGGCTCAGAAGTGTTTGAACAACTCAAAAGTGGCTCAAAATTAGTTGAACAACATAAGGCTCAGAATTTGTTGAACAGCCCAATATCTTACGTATAAATCAATATATACCTAAAAACTATACCTAAAAACAATTTTGCAGGAAGAGTACATTGTCTACACTCCCACAACATCACCGTTCAACGACGAGAGCGTGCGTTTCATTTCGAGTAAGACCTATTTCAATTTGGTTTCGTACGATGAGCTGCCGGACTGGCTCAAGGACAATGAATACCTACTGCACAACCATCGACCACCCCTCAATGACATTGCCCAGTGCATCAAGAGTGTGGGCTGTTTCCATACGGAGACGATGAACATCTGGTCTCATTTTGTTGGTAGGTTTGGTACTGTGTAGTCTTGTAAAGAAAGTTTTTGCAATTTTTTGTTTTGTAAAGAAAGTTTTTTGTCATTTTCTGTTTTGTAAAGAAAGTTTTTGCCATTTTGTGATTTGTAAAGAAATTTCTTGCCATTTTCTCTATATTCAAACGCATCTATCGTATAACTTATCATCGGCAGGCTGCGAAATATAAATTTTTGTTTTTTGGAGGCGGGACGTGGCTAGGGGAAGGGAGGGGTGAATGCTGAAGACGCACAGAGTTACATTGAAAATAAGTGGGAGAATTACTTGGACAAGATTGTTGAGGTATGTTTTATTTTTTTAATTGGTGCAAAATGCATAAAATTGCTTTTTAACCTAGAAAAGTTTTATTTATGCGTTTAAAAAATTTTATAGTTTTAAAAGTTTTTAAAAATATTTTGCAAATTTCAAAAAGTATTTCTTCAGGCTTCTGGAACTGGATTTGTAGCGAAATCAGGTGTTACATGGGTCGACTTTTTGATGGCAAACTTCTATGAAAACTCAATTGGAAAGCACTTTGTTATAAGGTTTAGAATAGCAAAAACTTTCTTTACAAATGAAAAAATTAAAATTTTTTGTAATTTTTTAATTATACATCCGCAGCCTGCGTCCTATGATTTAGATTTTGTAAGTTGAAAAAATTTTTAATCTCTAAAATGACAGAAACTTTCTTTGCAGTCTTAAAAAATATTGATTTTTTAAGCTTTGAAATATCTGCAGGCTGCGGGTGATATGTTATACGATGGATGGGTTTAACAGTATAAGAAATTGGAAAAATGGAAAGAAAGGAAAAAACTTTCTTTACAAAACAAAAAATGGCAAGAACTTTCTTTACATAACACAAAATGGCAAGAACTTTGTTTACAAAACAAAAAATGAAATATTTTCAAACATATTTATTATATTCCGTGTTTTCAGGTGCGTTGATGTTCGTGGCAGCGATGATTGTCTTCCTGAGTGCACCAATAACACAATCCTTGGAGAACAAACTAATCTTCCTAATCTTTTTCGCGGGTATTATAACGTGTCTCTTGTTTTCAACACTATTTCATGCTATCCATTGTCATTCGGAGAAGATGTTCAAGACCGTCATTAAGTAAGTTTGCACCCCTACCTCTAACCCTACCCCCTATCTCTACTCCTACCCCTATCCCGACCCCTACCCCTACCCTTACCCTTTACCTTTACTGTGCTTCTTTTCTACCATAATCGTGCACTATTGTAGCTCTTAGTTACTGTACTTCTTTTTCATATTAACCCTGTTCTACCGTAGCCTTTTCTTACCGTAACCCTTCCTTACCGTAATCCTGTCTTACTGTAGCTCTTTCTTATCTTAAACCTGACCTACCGTAGTCATTTCATACTGTAACCTTGTTTTACCGTAACTTTTTCTAACCGGACCCTGTCCTACCATAAATCTTTCTTACTGTAACGTTATCCAACAGTATCCCTTCTTTACCGTTACTCTTTTATATCGTAACCCTGACCTATCGTAGTCATTTCATAATGTAACCTTATTCAACCGTAGCCCTTTTTACCGTATCTCTTCCATACCGTAACCCTGACCTATCCCAGCTCTTCTTTACCGTAACTTTTTCCAACCGTAACCTTGACCTACCGTAGCCCTTCCTTACCGTAACCTTATCATGCTTTATCTTTTTCTTACCACAAGCTTGTCCAACTATAGCTCTTCTTTATCGTAACCTTGGCTTACCGTAACCCTATTCTGCTTTATCCTTTCTTACCGTATCCCTGGTCTGCCGTAACCTTGTCTACTGTAATTTTAGTTTTGAGTTTTACCTGTTTACAGTAATTCTATTTCACGCTGCCCCTATAACTTACCGTACCCTTTTCAGACTTGACTACTGCGGAGTAATATTGTCAATGTGCACATCGTTCGTACCATGGACGTACTATGCGTTCTATTGCCAACGCATCTACATGTGGGTCTACATCGCCCAGATTGCCAGTCTGAGTATAGGGGCCTTGATCGTGTCACTAATGGATCGCTTCGCTGCTCCAAAGTATCGGCCCCTGAGGGCGTTGGTTTTTTCCGGATTGGGGTTGAGCTGTAAGTGAAGAAAATTTGTTTACAAATTTTGATTGTTAGGAGATTTGAGGTTTTTATGCAAGAACTTTCTTTACAAAACAAGAAATGGCAAGAACTTTCTTTACAAAACAAAAAATGGCAAAAACTTTGTTTGCAAATCGAAATATGACAGGAACTTTCTTTACAAGACAAAAAATGGCAAACTTAGGACATATTTTATCGTATAACTTGGTTCGCGCAGTCTGCAAACTCTGAAATCGCTAAAAATTACTGAAAAGTGCAAGAACTTTGTTTACAAAACAAAAAATGGCAAGAACTTTCTTTACAAATCAAAAAACGGCAAAAACTTTCTTTACAAAACAGAAAATGGAAAGAACTTTGTTTACAAAACAGAAAATGGCAAGAACTTTGTTTACAAAACTAAAAAATTTAAAATTTCAGTGATGATACCACTAGTCCACCTGATCTACCAAAACGGCCTGAACTACGCGTTCCAGTACGCCGGTCTGGCCTGGCTTCTCCTAAACCTACTGTTTAGCGCCGTAGGCTTAACAATGTACTGTCTCCAACTGCCAGAACGCTTCAAACCCGGGTACTTTGACATCTTCGGGCATTCACATCAGATCATGCACGTTCTCACCGTTCTCGGAGCAGCAGCGTTCCTCTGCGGGTTGTATGAAATGTGGCAGCGAACAGAGAATGGGACAATATGTCTACCGGACCCGGCTAGCGTATGAAGAGGGGTTGGAGTGGGGAATAAAGTAGTTTAGTATAAGTTTTTTTGATTTTACTATGTACTATATGTTGTAGTAGAAGGAATAATTGTGTAATATGAAATTTTTTGGTACTCTGGGCCTTTTTAATGCACGGTGTACCATTATGTGGTTCTGTGCACCATTTTAAGGCCCAGTGTACCATTATGAAATTTTTTGGTACTGAGTACTATATTATTATTCTTTTAGTACTATTTATCATAAAGTGTTATATAATAGTACTCAGTACCATTAAATGATATTTTATTGTACAAGGTACTATAAAATGCGGTTTTATGGTACTGAGTGTTATAACATACTATTTTTCAGTACTAGGTACTATAATATAACATTTGTTAGCATGAGTGATTATAATATGACATTTTATTGTACCAAGCACAATAATGTAGCACTTTGTGGCACAATGTACCATTTTAGGGTATCAGGTACTATAATATTTGATTTTATAGCACGATGTGAACATAATATACCATTTCTGATAAGTTATAGTAATTCAAATGCATTTTTTTGTAAACAAAGTTTATTACGAGTCTTTTCTTCATTCGAATACCAGTATTATACATTAGCACGGTGATTCTTTATTATTTTTGGCTTTAATTTGGAAACTTGTCTTTATCATTATATTGTAGCCTTTCTTAATATCTAGTTGTTAGGTTGTTACTTATTTTTAACGAATTGTACATTTACTGTTAATAAATTATTTGACCATGAGTGCCATTTTTTATTGACATACGTTTTTGAAACGTTATATCTGGATTTTTACTCTACCCCCTACCCCCTACAAGCTCTACTCTAATTACCGTAATCCTACTTACTGTAACTTTTTTCCATCGTTTTGCTACTCCTATTCTTACCTCGTCTTACCCTACCCCTCATTTTTCCATGACTTATCAAAGACACGTTTCATCGTATAACATGGTCTGCGCAGGCTGCGGAACTCATTTTGTTTATAAAATGGCTTTGGAATTGAATTTTCGAGGATTAAAGTGAACTTTTGTGTGATTTTTTATCGTTTTTTAATCAAAAATGTATAAATTTATCAATTTTGAGATCATAGCGAATAATAATGTACACGCATGTTATCCATGATAGAGTAGGCTGACAATAGTCAAAAGAGAAAAATTTTTAAAATTAAATTGAACAAAGATGACAAATCTTAACTCATAGAACGACAAAACTTAACAAACCATATAGATTATATCAATATATACAATAAGAAATGGCAGTAAAATTTCTAAAAGACTCAAAGAGCCTCTGAATTCGGGTCCTGACTGGAAACCTTCTTCCGCAACCCAACTCTCGGGTCGATCTTCTTTGTTTTGGTACTCTCGGATACGGGTGAGCGTATGACATAGACTATGTCACCATTCTGAAGCTCCAAGTCGAACGATGGGTTAATTATGACATATGAAATTTTACGTCGGAAATCCAAGGTTTCTTCTGGAAAAAGTGCTATTTATGACAGCTGACGTGTTCTGATTTTGGTTAAGTTTAACATAGTAATAGCTTAGTATGTTTGTGATTACTTTGGCGAAATTTAAGTTTTTTCATTCGTTGGAAAGAAAGTTATTGCGGTTTGAAAGTGTCTATGTTGAATATTATCCAGAATTTAAGGCTGGTTTTGGAAAAAAAAAATTTTACCATGGTTACGGTTGTCGTATCTTTATAAAATTTTACATGTAGTACCACTATTAATTTAGTTGTATGCGTACAAATTTTAAGATTTTTTCGGTTAGTGTAAAGAAAGTTATTGCGGTTCGAAAGGGTCGACGTTTAATATTAACCAGAATTTATGGTCGCCTTGGAAAAAAATTTTTTTACCATGCTTATGGTTGTCGTATCTTTATGAAATTTTACACATAGTACTAATGGTACCCTATTTATATACGCACCAGATTCTAAACGTTTTCGATCAGTGTAAAGAAAGTTATTGCGTCTTGAAAAAGTTTTGTCACTGAAGTCCCACTTTTGGCCAAAAAATCTTGTTTTCTCAATAAAAATGCACTTTTACTATAGTTGCCATTACGATATCTTACTATTATTTTGTATGTAGTACCATTAGTCTATCTACTGTTACTACGGTAAATTTCAGAGTTTTGTAATTAGTGTAAAGAAAGTTATTGCGTTCTGAAATAGATTCTACTCATGAATTGAAAAAATAAAGGTCCCGTATATAACACATTTTTTACTACGGTACTTGCTGACGTATCTTTATATAATTTTACAAATAGTACTACTGGTACCATGTTTGTATGGCTGCAAAATTTCAAACTTTTTTTATAAGTGTAAAGAAAGTTATTGCGTTTTGAAAGCGCCTTCCCCTTGCAAGTCAATCATTGGAATCAATGCCATTTCTTAATGATACCACCGTACTAAACCTCTTTTCAGTACCAAAAATAGGACCATACTAATCTTACTGTAATCTGGATTATATTTACTGTATTTTGTGTGATATTTACTGTTCTCTATATTATATTTGCTTTACTGTATTAAACTTACTGTACTGTGTAACATTGAGTTGTAGTGATTTCATCCGTTGCTTCACCAGATCCTGTACATTTCCTTTGTTATTTTCATTCAGAAGTGACTTCTTTTCATCTTTCTCGTCTTCTTCAAGTTCTGCTGCTTCATCCACTTCTATTGTGACGCCTTGGTGTTGTTGTTGTTGGGAAACATCGATGGTTCGGTAGATTCCAATAGGTATATCTGCTACTGATGAGCATAGTTTTTGAAATAGGCGACCATAGGTCTTGATCCACATGTCTTCTTCGGTTATTTCTATCTATAGTTATATGTGTTATAGTAGGGTAGGGTTGGGTTACCGTATTGGTAGGAATAGTGTAAGATAAGATTCTGTATTCTATTGTAAGGTAAAATTACGGTAGCGTCAGTTAGGGCTAAAAGGCTGCAGGGCCAGTATACGGTAGGGGTAGTGTAGGGTAGAGATAGTATGCAGAAGGGGTACTATACGATAGGGGTAGTATACTTCAGTGGTAGAGTATGGTAGGGGTAGGGGTAGGGGTAGGGGTAGGGGTAGGGGTAGGGGTAGGGGTAGGGGTAGGGGTAGGGGTAGGGGTAGGGGTAGGGGTAGGGGTAGGGGTAGGGGTAGGGGTAGGGGTAGGGGTAGGGGTAGGGGTAGGGGTAGGGGTAGGGGTAGGGGTAGGGGTAGGGGTAGGGGTAGGGGTAGGGGTAGGGGTAGGGAAATGGGTAGTGGTAAAGGTAGGGGCAGGGGCAAGGGCAGGGGTATGGCTAGCCTACTTACCGAAGCCAAATACCCACTACCACTCGACTGGTCGATTCCCAGTAGAATTTTCAAAAAGTCGCATAGATAGGGTTTTAAAAACGCCTGATACAGTAACCGATCCAGCATGTGGGCTGAGAAAACGCTTCCACTGGCGAAAGGTAGCCTGAACATGAAGGCTAGACTGGATCCTCGCTTCTTTTCCTTCTTTTCGTATTTCGATTGCTGGAGGGCATAAGGGTCGTTGGCATCGAATTCGACGAATCTCATGTTGGATTCTGACACCAGTTCGGTCGTTATCTTGAGATTTGGGAACATTCTGGAATTTTTGAAATTTTTTTTGAAAAATTTTAAATTTTTAAAACTTTTTTAATTTTTTTTTTATTTTCAAAAAAGACCCACCGATGAATCTTCTGCACCGTGACAATCGTTCCACAGTCAGCCAGCTGCACCTCTAGCTCAGTTTTGGCCTGTTTTACCACAATAAAGTGCTCAGCGTTGTTAACACCAGCCCTTAATAGGTTGTCCAAACTGTAAATTTTTGTAATCAATTTGTGCTACAGTAATATTATGACTTGTTGTTACAAAACTTACTTTGAAATTTTGCCGTTCATCCAATAAATATCCGGGAAATGTGATAGTACGTCCAGAAATACGTCGCTTGGCCGGGGATTACTGTAAGAAAGCTTGTTATGTTTTTAGTGTTCTACCCTACCTTACCCTACCCTACCCTACCCTCCCCGACCCTACCCTACCCTCCCCGACCCTACCCTACCCTACCCTACCCTCCCCGACCCTACCCCTTATATACTCTACCTTACTCTACCCTACCCTACCTGATTCTGCCCTGCCTTCTCCTACAGTACCTACCGTACAGTATCCTACCCTACCCTAACCTGCCCTGCCTTGTAATGCCTTGTTCTGCCCTGTTCTGTCTTTACCTACCCTACCATACTCATCATACTCTACCCTACCCTACATTACCTTACTTTACAGTACTCTACCCTACCGTATCCTAAACGACTATACTTTATAAAGTTCTAACTCACAGTAAACCTGCCCCTACCTTCCTTACCCTTTCTAACCCGTCTCGTACTCCACCCTAACCTACGTTAACCATACCTATCCTTCTTCCTGGGCATTATTCTTTAAGGTTTAGGTCAAAACAGGTCCTTCTTAGAGATTAAATGATACCTCAACAGAAAACCTAGTACCTCCCATAAATATTGAGTACCATATCACTTTCTTCTGTATATCTGTTTCGTCAAAAAAAAATTTTTTTTTCAAAAAAGTTAAGAAAAAACAACGTTTTTCGACCATTTTTTTCAAATTCCCGCCCAATTTTCAAAGTTAAAAGCCCAAACCATATCCAAAAACAAACCCCAGAATCTACCACACCATACAAATACTATACCTTCCTTTTCCATCCAACTGCAGCAACAGCACGATCGGTTTAAGGTCATGAACTGGTCTACAAAAGCTTCTCAACGGCAACAACAGATTATATAAGCCGGCGGTCGCTTTATCCGCCGCAACAATAATGAGTTTGTTGCGGAAATTGTAGGCAGTAGCATTGGTGTAGTCGACATGTTCACAAGGCTCGTCTAATCGCAGGCAACAATGCTCCTTCTTCTCTTTCAGCGTGTAACATAAGGTGGGGTTGGAGCCGATGTAGGCGTTTACCGGCGGGTAACTTTTTACTACTCTGTAAAGCAAAGTTTTTTGGAAACGAAATATTTAAGGTTTGGAAAGAAAATTCTTGCTGTTTTTAATTAAAAAAATAAAAATCAGCATAAAATACGAATTTTTGACAACTTATGTACGGCCGAATAATTCGCGCGAACTTAAGTTTTCAACTAACGTACGCGCGAATTGCAAAAAAAAATAAAAGTTTATTTCATAACTAAAAATTTAAAAAATAAAATTACCACGCCCTAAAACAATTTTTTTAAACCTGAAAAAAAATTCTTGTTGTTTATTACTTTTAAAATTAATAAAAATTTCAAAAATTGATATTTTTGACAACTTATGTACGGCCGAATAATTCGCGCGTACGTAAGTTGTCAACTAATGTACGCGCGAATTACAAACCAAATAAAAATCCATAAAAATGCCATAAATGTCTAAAAAATGCCGTTAACACGCCCAAAAAATTTAAAAAAAACCTACTCATCAGCAATACATCCAATACCAGAACATAAGGTGCAATCACTGACATCCTCATCCGAGCTCGATTCTAATGTGCCAGTTACAGCGTCGATACTCGACGTCCGGTCTGCCAATCTTTTTTTCGACGACCGTTTTTCATGTGACGTTGTGAAGGCACGTTTTTTAATGTTTTTGAAACGACTTTTTCGTTTTTCACTCACACTGCCAGGAAGGTCCATTGCTAGGCTGCCTGAAAAAGTTTAGAGTAGTGTAAGTTTTTGGTTACTGTATTTATAAACTTTTTTTTAAAAGATCTGCCCGCCTAGCTCACTCAAGCCAGGCCTAGCCAAGCAATTCCAACCCAACCCAGCCCAGGGCCTAAGCCCAGCCTAAGCCCCGCCTAAGCCCAGCCTAAGCCCAGCCTAAGCCCAGCCTAAGTCCAGCCTAAGCCCAGCCTAAGCCCAGCCTAAGCCCAGCCTAAGCCCAGCCTAAGCCCAGCCTAAGCCCAGCCTAAGCCCAGCCTAAGCCCAGCCTAAGCCCAGCCTAAGCCCAGCCTAAGCCCAGCCTAAGCCCAGCCTAAGCCCAGCCTAAGCCCAGCCTAAGCCCAGCCTAAGCCCAGCCTAAGCCCAGCCTAAGCCCAGCCTAAGCCCAGCCTAAGCCCAGCCTAAGCCCAGCCTAAGCCCAGCCTAAGCCCAGCCTAAGCCCAGCCTAAGCCCAGCCTAAGCCGAGCCTAAGCCCAGCCTAAGCCCAGCCTAAGCCCAGCCTAAGCCCAGCCTAAGCCATACCAGTCAAGCCAATCCAAAACTAGCCCAGCCAAGATCAGTTGAGCCGTAGCTTTGCCTAAACCTTATATTAACCTACCCAAATTGGCAATGTGAGCAGTAGTATTATGTTTCTTTGTCAGTTTATGCAAATCCCTGATACTCTCCTCATTCGTCAGTGCTATATAGTAGAATCTGTCAGTGATTTGAACAACATGTTGATGACCTGGATTCAGTTGAATTCTGGAGCCTTTCTCGCCTTTTTTCACTCCAACCAAGCAAATGCCATAGGTACGATGAGCATGGAAAGAAGTGTAAGCAAAGGTTTTACCCACGTAATCAAAGAAGAATTTACTGTCTTTGACCTGAATGTCGTATATCTCGTTGCCGGAGTGGAAGCCGTAGATGCGATGCCACAATTCTGAAGACTTTTGGCCTTCTCTGAAAAATGCAATAACTTTGTTTACAATTATCGTTCCAAAAATGTTTAAAAATTAGTATTTTTAGCAACTTATGTACGGCCGAATTAGTAAAGTCTTCTAACTTACGTACGGCCGAATTAATGAAGTCCAACTTATGTACGGCCGAATTATTCGCGCGTACATAAGTTGCTTTAACTAATGTACGAGCGAATGACAAGAACTTTGTATACAAAACAAACAATAGCAGGAACTTTTTTTACAAAACAGAAAATAGCAAGAACTTTCTTTACAAAACAAAAATTGGCAAGAACTTTGTTTACAAATAAAATTCAAAACTCACTCTCCCTGACTCGTATGCATAAGCAAAGTGATAAAAGTCGAAATCCCAGGACAAATACAGTTGTTGGCCAGTAATGAGAACTTGAATTCATCTTCACAGATCACCATATGAGCATGATCGATATGCAATTTGGCTTCAGTACGAAACACCTGGACGTATTGTGGCACTTCTGGTGCATAATCTTTGACTGCCCAAGAACGAAGGATGGTTTGTTGGTCCTGGAATAGCATTTTTTGAAGTTTGTTGATAAGTTTTGTCACTTTTTTGCCCAAAAACTCATAAAAAAACGCCATTTTTGATTAAAAAATGCCATTTTTTAATAAAACTAAAAGTAAAAATTCAAAAATTTTGTGATAATTATACTTTGATTGTCAAAAAAAAACAAGAAGAATTTACGTATTTTACATTACCCATACTGATAAGTTTTGTAATTTTTTTGAAAAAAACAAGAAAAAACAAAGATTTTTGAAGAAAAATGCCACTTTCTAAACAAACTATACATGAAAAGTTTTAAATTCTGCATTCACATATGATACAAATGTCACACCAATTCAAAAAAACTAGTTGCCGTATTTTACATTACCAAATTCATCTAATTTTTTCACATTTTTCGTGAAAAATCGCCAAAAATCTAGTATTTTCCAGAAAAAAACGCCATTTTGTGTTAAAACTAACAATGCAAAAACACAATTTTTTTAAAAAAATAAATAGATAATTTTTTAAAATTGTATTTAATGCCTTACAACCCCCAAAAACCACAAAAAATAGATTTGGAGGTATGGGGAATTGAACCCCAGGCCTCTCGCATGCGAAGCGAGCGCTCTACCCCTGAGCTATACCCCCACGGTTCGTTTCGGCTCTCCGAATGCTAGGAAACGTAAAAGTGGGTGGTATGGGGCTTACTACAATATGTTTTGGTCGTATTTTAATATTTTTTAAAATTTTGATGTCTGGAAAGAAAGTTTTTGCATTTTTGAACAGTTTTTGATGAAAAATTCATTGGTAAGGTTAAAATAAGTTAAAAGTGAATTTTAGGTAACAAATTATTAAAAAATGCGTTTTCATGCTTTTGTAAAGAAAGTTCTTGCCATTTTTTGTTTTGTAAAGAAAGTCCTTGCATTTTAAATTTTGTAAAGAAAGTTCTTGTCATTTTTTGTTCTGTAAAGAAAATTCCTTCCATTTTTTGCCAAACACCAAAATTTTAAAAATTCCAAGCTCTGTAAACAAAGTTTCGTCCCTTACCGATATTTTCTTTTCCTGATTGTTCCTAGCGCTTAAGATGAAGCACGCTCTGGCCGTTCCCATATTGCACCGTGCCAAATCCTCGTCTTTTAATGCTGTCCCTCTGACGAATAGTACTCTGTCGGACCATAAGGGTATACGAAGGAGGTTCTTCATACCTACATCGAGTTCGCATGGTGATAAGAGTACTATCATGAAGCCCTAAAGGTTATGAAAATATTATTTTAGGCCTAAAAATGTGTTTTCTAAGCCTAAAAATGTGTTTTCTAAGCCTACAAGTGTGTTTTCTAAGCCTAAAAATGTGTTTTTTAAACCTAAAAATTAGTTTTCTAAGCCTACAGATGTGTTTTCTAAGCCTAAAAATGTGTTTTCTAAGCCTAAGGTCTCTATTTTATAAGCCTAAAATTTTTTCTAAGCCTAAAATATGTTCCTAAACCTCAAACTAGAATTTTGAAACTAAAAAATTAAATTTTAAGCTTAATTGTAAGCCTAAAATGTCATTTTTCAACTATAACAATCTAAAAACCTGCGAATATGCCATTCTTTTCGCATCAACAGAAAATTTTTTCACACTTCAAAAAAATTTTTAAAAAACTACCTGATGCTTCTTATGAGCATAAAACTCATTAAAAAAGTCACTGATAAAATCAGCGTCCAGATTAGGTATAGTTACCACAATGTGTTTACTACTCGGGGAGAAGCCCTTAGTATGGTCAAACCCAGCTTTTTCCTTCTCCAGCCAAGTCTGAGTTAGGGCTTCAATCTAAAAATTAAAAAATTAGGGATTTTGGAAAGAAAGTTCCTTCAAAATTTAAAAAATTTCCAAAAACATTATTTTTTATCATTGTAAACAAAGTTATTGCGGTTTCTTCAAATTCCACAGAAAAATTAACTTTTTTAAATTTTGTAAAGAAAGATAAGAAAGTGGCATTTTCTGCAGTTTTGAGGGCTGAAATATTCAAAAAAACTGCAATTTTTGGCCCTTTTGTTGTTTTTTAAGACGTTGGAAAGAAAGTTTTTGCAAACTTTTTGCATTTTTATAAAATTATGGTTTGACTTTTTCATAAAAATTACAAAAAGACATCACTTACCTTTTTAGGTAACACACAAATGCCAGCAATGATCAACAACATAACATAAGATCGACTCAGCATCGTATCAGGGCTCACATCACCATACCCAACGGTCGAAAACGATACAACAACAAAGTAGAACGATGTAAACAAATCGTACTTGGTAGTTCCACCACGTTGTAGGGCTTCCATACCACACGCACCACTTAACATCAGGCATATTAATGTAGATACCAAGGCTTGGATCTCTCGATTTAGTACCTTCATATCGTACTTGATGGAAGAACGATAGTAATCGTGGATCATATCTTGTAGGATGCCGTCTGCTATCCAACAGTTTAGGTAGATGGGTAGGTTGAGGTAACGGAGGCGAGGGAAGAAGATCTAAAATAAGGTGAATATTATGGGTTTTTTGCCATTTTTTATGTGATATAAGTTGATTTTTATATTAGAAATGTCATTTATCAAAAGATAAAAACCTTTTTTTTAATTTTAAAATAGCTTTTATAATCAAAAATTAAAAAAATTAAAACTTTTAAGCCTGCAGCCTCCGAGTGACATGTCATACGATGGATATCAAAGCTAAGTCAAAAATGGACACATAATACTGCTAGAAGTTAAATCATCGTATTTTACAATATTTCTAACTTTAAAACATTACTTTTCATCACAAATTCAAAAAAAAAACAAAGCTTTATCCTCTGCAGTCTGCGGGTGACATGTTACACGATGGATATCAAAACTAAGTCAAAAATGGGAACCTAAGCCTACTAAAAATAAAAGCAACGTATTTTACAATATTTTAAATTTTAAAACTACTCTTTAACAAGAAAGAAAAGATTTAGTCTCTGCAGGCTGCGGGTGACATGTTATACGATGGATATCAAAGCTACCCTCGACTAAGTCTAAAATGCACTCCTAAGCCTAACCAATGTTAAATTTTTGTATTTTACATTATTTTTAATTTTATAACTTTAGTTTTAACAAAAAAAGCAATGAACAACCAAACAATAGTCGCCGCAGCCTGCGGGTGGCATGTTATACGATGATTACCCAAAAATTCCTAAAAAAAATATTAAAAATATAATCTATTAAAACGTCATTTTAAGCCTATAAAACCCTTTTTTTCAACATATTTTTACATTTTTCAAACAGTGAACTGGTACGATATACACCATGATGATATAAAACACTTACTGATATGATCAATGGCATCCCAGTCAATAGTTCCAACAAAAAATGACTGTAAGTGAACAAGCGGACCACACTACCCTAGAAAAATGAAAAAATTATTAAAATTCACTTTTAATTTTAAATTAAATTTTAAATTTTAAGTATGTGCCCTTAAGACTAAATAATAAAAAAAAACTAAAAATGCAAAAAAAAATTTAAAAATTTAAAAATGCCTAAAAATGTAATGTAAAACAAGCCCTTTCATCATATTTTTTACCTAAACTTACCTTAAAAGTCACAAAAAATATGGTCATGGTGAGAAACATAGATAATATAGCCACTATCACTTGGAATGCCCATATTGTGTTAGTTCGATTAGTCCAGACTAGGTAATTCCTAAACGAAAATCTATTTTACAACTGGGCTACGCCTCTGGGCTAGGGCTCTGGGCTAGGGCTCTGGGCTAGGGCTCTGGGCTAGGGCTCTGGGCTAGGGCTCTGGGCTAGGGCTCTGGGCTAGGGCTCTGGGCTAGGGCTCTGGGCTAGGGCTCTGGGCTAGGGCTCTGGGCTAGGGCTCTGGGCTAGGGCTCTGGGCTAGGGCTCTGGGCTAGGGCTCTGGGCTAGGGGCTCTGGGCTAGGGCTCTGGGCTAGGGCTCTGGGCTAGGGCTCTGGGCTAGGGCTCTGGGCTAGGGCTCTGGGCTAGGGCTCTGGGCTAGGGCTCTGGGCTAGGGCTCTGGGCTAGGGCTAGGGCTTACCAGTCGGAAGAGATAAACGAAATCTGGCTGACGTTCTCTGGCATCTCCCCATCGTTCCAAATGACTTGTATACAATATAGTACACAAGCTAGTACTTTGATTGTGAAGTTGAAAGCACGAATTCCAAAACCTAAAAAATGCAAGAACTTTCTTTACAAAATAAAAAATAACAAAAACTTTCTTTACAATACAAAAAATGGCAAGAACTTTCTTTACAAAATCAAAAATGGGAAGAACTTTCTTTCCACTCAATTTTCACTTACTCCATCGATGATTCTCTAGGAAATATTGTTGTAGCTTGCTCTTCACATCCTGATCTCCACCATATTGCATTTGAGCGCTGAAACGGAGCATTTCGAAAAAAACTTTGAAATGACAAAAAAGCAATTTTTGCCCTCTGGGTTTATCCATTTTTTGACTTTTTTTTGCGTCAAGATTTACTATGGCAAGAAAGAGATATATGGGGAAACAAACTACCAACACATCTATATCTTCGTCTTCAGCCGGCTGCCTCATGGTGGGACAAAAGAAATCTTATTGTTAGTTTTTGGACCGGCCAATAAATGTTTAGACTGAAAATGTATTCTATTTTAATATAAGTTAATATAAAACGGCAAGAACTTTCTTTACAAAACAAAAAAAAGACAAATGGTGCTGCACGGTGCAAAGATTAATTTTTGGCAATAAATTTGTTTACAATCACAAAAAATGGCAGCTTTGAAATTTTTTGAGTTTTTGAAGAAACTTTCTTTACAAATTTTCAAAAAACGGGAATTTTGGTTTGTTATATGGAAAAAGCGCAATAACTTTGTTTACAATGATGGAAAATGACGTTGTTCAGTATTTTGAAGTTTGGAAAAAACTTTCTTTACAAATTTTCAAAAAACGGAAATTTTTGTCGATTATATGGAAAAACCGCAATAACTTTGTTAACAAAGAGTAAAATGGTAAGATCTTTTTTTGCAAAACATAAAATAACAAGAACTTTCTTTCCAAAACATATTTTTTACTTTTCCAACCCAAAAACGCAAAAAATGTGAGCTACCGAGCAAAATAACGTTGTTACCCATGGCTTTCCCCGTCTTCAATCCTCGTTTTGGAAAGGAATTGGAGCGGTTCAAAAGAGGTTTTTTCCTTGTCCAATTCCTCACTTTTCTCGAATATATTACACTTTAATGAGAAGTGCCCGAACGGCTTTTTTGACACGTTTTCTAAAGATTTGAAATTTTAAATTTTAAATTTAAATTTTGAAATTTAAGCCTTTAGTTTTGGTTTGAAATTTGAATTTTTTAAACCCTAAGGGAAATTTTTTATGTTTTTTTTTATTTTTAAGGTTTATCGACCGGTCAATATATTTTTTTGATTATTAGACAAAGTTTAAGCTCAATATCCAGCCTTTAAGCCTAACGTTATGTTTATATGCCCAAAGATATGTTTTTAAGCCTAAAAATGTGTTTTAAATATGTGCTTTCTAAGCCTAACGTCAGTTTGTAAGCCTAAAGACATGTTGTAAAGCCTAAAAAATGCTTTTAGCCCTAAAAATCAAAACATAAGCCTAAAATGTGTCTTTAACATTACAAATGCATTTCTAAGCCTAAGGTGTGTTTCTAAGCCTACAAATGTATTTCTAAGACTCCAATTATGTTTCTAAGCCTAAAATGGGTCATTAAGCCAAAAAATCCTAAAGTAAGCCTAAAACTTGTTTCAAAACCCAAAATGTATTCCTAAGCCTAAAAATGTGTTTCTACGCCTATAGATTTAAACCTATACCTATAAATGTGTTTTTAAGCTCTAAACGCCTTTCTAAACCTAAAAATGTGTCCCTAAGCCTAACAAATGTGTAGCTAAGCCTGAAACTAAATTTAATAACAAAAGGCTTAAAGATAGGCATCAAACCTTCTCAGACATTTTTATAATAACTTTATACGATCTTAGAATAGTATATGTACCTGCATACCTATCATAAATTTCATAGTCAAGTGAAGTAGCCGCTGATATAGAAGTATTTAGCGTTAAAATACTCAAATTTCGTTCTTTTAGGTCTCCAGGGCTTAATTCCATTTCAAAGGAAATTTTAGTACTGTACAGTACTTGGTACTGTATTTTTAAAATTAAAATCAAAAAATTTTAAAAAATATTTTAGTCTAGCCCTGGAAATATGGACGAATATCTGTTTAATAATAGAACGTGCTGTAAATAGTACTAGAAATTTTAATTAAATTAGTGTAACACAATAATAAAAAAGACGTAGCGTGCCAATATTGTTTAGTATCGTTAGTTTAGCGAAAAAAGCAAAGAAAATAAAATGCACTTTACGATTTGTTACTTTTCTGCCAATATCAATTGCATTTTGTTGACAAACTAGCTAGTTTCTAGAGTAAATCCGGTCCCACGAAACTAAGAAATAAAAAAAATCTACCCTAGCCTCAGCCTCAGCCCTTGCCTTGGCTCTTGCCTTGGCCCTTGCCTTGGCCCTTGCCTTGGCCCTTGCCTTGGCCCTTGCCTTGGCTCTTGCCTTGCCTTAACCTTGTCCTAGCCACACCATACCCTAGCCTAGCCGTGCCCTAACGTTTCCCTAGCTTTACCCAAGCCTAGCCTTGAGTGCTGAGCCCTGGACTTTGAGCTTTAGCTCTAGCTAGGGCTATCCTGGCTAATACTACCCTAAATACAAAAAAAAATATTTATACATCTAAACCTGTCCTACTGCCTTACTGAAACCTACCCTAGTCAACCCAACCCAAGTAAAAAGCCTTTTATGACCAAACTTCAAAGTGACTTCAAAGAAAAAAAATGTAAAATTGCCATTCTCGGAGTAAATTGTAGTAAAATCCCAACCCTCGCAGTAATTTGTTGGGTCGTTTTACATCGAGGCAAATATTGCAAAAGTGAACAATATTACATAAGAAAACGTTCCGTAACACCATTTCGTGCAATTTACCTAAGGCTAGAGCTCTATATAAGATGTCATGTTATAACACAAGTTTGAATCACATCGTTACGTACCACGAGATAATATTTAAAAAATGAAAAAGGTACCACTTTTTAAAACAAAAATATTTTTTTTTCTATTTATATTTCCCTACCCTACCCGACAAAATAAAAATCTTACTTAAATTCCGCTCGTGTTGCCTGTAACTCCATGATTTGTTGCATGTTGCTAGAGTTGCGGTGATGTTGGACGTTCATATCTAAAAAATGAATTTTATATTTTGATACTTTCTATGTAAATTTGAATTGGCAAGACTAGTTTTTTTTTTTCAAATAGTACCAAACAATACGTTGTCCCACTTTACCAAACTCTACCCTACCCTACCTTACCCAACCATACTCTGTCTACCTTATTCTATCTATCCTATCCTACATTACCCTACCCTATTCAACCCTATTCTACTTATCCTACCGTAAATCGTTAGCCCATTACACCTCTATTGTATTATCTTTGTAGTACACTATCTACATACCAATTGGTGTTAATGGTGCTATTTCTACCTCTTCGTCTATAAACAAAGGATTTTCATACTCCATCATGTTCATCTTATAAGTACCGCTAATTATATAATACGACCAATGATACTAGTTTTTTAGTACCAAAAGGTAAGACACAACACAGTAGTACTAAATAGTACAAGTACAAATGGACAGTACGATACTATATAGAATCAAAGTCGAAATAGTACAAGTAGTTAAGATATTACAAGTACCAAATAGCGCCACTAATTAAACTAGTATGAATAACAGAAAATAGTACTAGTATTTAAAATAATACGAGTAAAAGATCAACTACAGTATCCTTTACCTTCTAAACTAAACATCAGCTGTTTTATACTCCAAACAGTAAGCCTAACAAAGTTAGCCCAAAAACCTAATTAAAAAATAAATTGAGAACTTATTGTCTTTTGTTATTCTACATTACCCTTTTGTCTTTGGCAGTAAATAATTAAAATTTTTCGAAATTGAACGTTCAAAAATAGCCTTTTCTTTTTTGTAGCACCTGCCCTACCCTACTCTACCCTACCCAACCCTACCCTACCCTACCCTACCATACCCTACCTACCCTTAGCCTACAGGTGATTCTTAATCTCAAATGTAGTTTTTTCAATTCTTAAGCCTAAAAGCAAACTCTTAAGCCTAAAATTGAATTATAAGCCTAAAATTCAGTTCATAAGCCTAAAATCCAATCTTAAGCCTAAAATCTAGTTATAAGCCTGAAATTGAATTATAAGCTTAAAATTCAGTTCATAAGCCTAAAATCCAATTCTTAAGCCTAAAATCTAACTATAAGCCTAAAATTGAATTATAAGCCTAAAATTCAGTTCATAAGCCTAAAATTTAATTATAAGTTTAAAATTGAATCATAAGCCTAAAATTCAGTTCATAAGCCTTAAATCCAATTCTTAAGCCTAAACTCCAATTCTTAAGCCTAAACTCCAATTCTTAAGCCTAAACTCCAATTCTTAAGCCTAAAATCCAACTCTGAAGCCTAAACTATAATTCTAAAGCCTAAAATCCAATTCTTAAGCCTAAAAACCAGTATCTAAGCCTGAAATTCTATTTTATGAATAAAATTTAATTCTTAAGCCCAAAAACGATCGTTAAGCCTAAAATTCCATTATTAAGTCTAAAACAGTACCCTACCCTAACTTAATTAAGATTAAACTTAAAATTGATCTTGTTACCTAAAAATAAGTTTGAAGCCTAAAATGTAACTTTTAGTTGATAGGCTAAATTTTAACCCTAACTTTTAAGCCTAAAAACTAATCTTTCAGTTTTGAAGTTTTGGGTATATATTAAAATTTTAAAACCTAACCCAAACCCAGGAAAACAGTCCAATAAACCCATATTTCACACATTTTAAAGACATAAACAACAACGAGAAAGAGCTGTTTTTGGCATCCGGATAAAACTGAATTCTTATTTATCGAGTCCAAAGACAGAAGAAAAAGAGAAATGGAGCGAATAATTAACGAATGAAAGCTACAAACAAGCTAAATTAAAGGACATCTTTAATTAAAGACATCTTTAATCACCCTACCCTGCCCTACCTTACCCTAGCATACTCTACCATACAATGTCTTATTCAGCCTTTCCCTGATCTGCCCTGCACTATCCTGCTTTATCCTACCCTACCCTATCCTAGCCTACCCTGCCCTATCCAGCCCTGCCCCCATAGCAGTTTTGCAGCCTGTGGGTGACATGTTATACGATAACAGGCCATTTTTTATTCGTAAAGAAAGTTCTTGTCATTTTTTGATTTGTAAAGAAAGTTCTTGCCATTTTTTGATTTTGTAAAGAAAGTTCTCGCCATTTTTTAGTTTGTAAAGAAAGTTCTCGCCATTTTTTGATTTGTAAAGAAAGTTCTTGTCATTTTTTATTTTGTAAAGAAAGTTCTTGCCATTTTTTGATTTGTAAAGAAAGTTCTTGCCATTTTTTGATTTGTAAAGAAAGTTCTTGTCATTTTTTATTTTGTAAAGAAAGTTCTTGTCATTTTTTATTTTGTAAAGAAAGTTCTTGCCATTTTTTATTTTGTAAAGAAAGTTCTTGCCATTTTATGTTTTTGTAAAGAAAGTTCTTGTCATTTTTTATTTTGTAAAGAAAGTTCTTGCCATTTTTTAGTTTGTAAAGAAAGTTCTTGTCATTTTTGGTTTTGTAAAGAAAGTTCTTTCCATTTTTTGATTTGTAAAGAAAGTTCTCGCCATTTTTTGATTTGTAAAGAAAGTTCTTGCCATTTTTTGATTTGTAAAGAAAGTTCTTGCCATTTTTTGATTTGTAAAGAAAGTTCTTGCCATTTTTGTAACAAAAACCTCGAGTAACGGATTAGCGTATAACCTGCCACCCGCAGCCTGCAAACCCTTCTTTCCTCCATAAATTCCATTTTTATACCAAAAAAAAATGAATAAAGGTTGAAAAAATATGCCCACCTCTCCGTAAATTTTATGCAAATTTAAAATTTCTTTTTCAAAAATCGAAAAAATTTTCAATTTTGCTTCATTTGAAAACGAAAATGGATGATCTTGCGGCCGAAGTCTGGGCTCGATCGCGTTCCAAAACTCGAAACAATACGGAGCAGAGACGTGAGGTAAGAACGATTTATGTTACTGTGGCTATGGCTGATTCAACTAAATTTAAATTTTTGTGAAAAGATGGTCGAAAAAAAAATTTTGGATTTTCGACCAAAAAATACTTTTTTTGCTCTGTAAAGAAAGTTCTTGCCATTTTTTGCTCTGGAAAGAAAGTTCTTGCCATTTTTTGCTCTGGAAAGAAAGTTCTTGCCATTTTTTAGTTTGTAAAGAAAGTCCTTGCATTTTTTTAATTTGTAAAGAAAGTTCTTGCTATTTTTTGCTCTGGAAAAAAAGTTCTTGCCATTTTTTGTTTTGTAAAGAAAGTTCTTGTCATTTTTTGTTTTGTAAAGAAAGTTCTTAACATTTTTTGGCTTGTAAAGAAAGTTCTTGCAATTTCCAATTATACTTATAAAATTTTTGTTCTATCAACTTTTTGACTTCTATAAACAGCCATTCTATAAACTTTATGACCTCAAAAACCCCAATTCCCCAAACTTTCAGACTTCGCTGACCCCGCCCTCCTACTCGGTGGTGGAGAACAAACGTGGCGATCTAGTTAACCCAGTTTTGAAAGTCAAATGGCCAGAGCGGCCGGCCAAAGGCCGCCACTCGGTTCAGGGCTACCTCCGACGAAAGCGCGCCAAAGAGCATGGTCAAAAAGTAGAGAGAACAGAGAACAGCTCGAGTTGCAGTGACAGTATTGATGAAGCGGATCGAAGTGCCATTCCTGTGGCTAAGAAACTCAAGTCACGGTTCGTGGGCATCAAACCTGAGTCGGTAAGAAAGTTGTTGCCGTTTTTGGTTCTGTAAAGAAAGTTCTTTCTATTTTTTGGTTTGTAAAGAAAGTTCTTGCTATTTTGCCTTTCACTCTATTTGTAATTCGCGCGTACGCAAGTTTAACCAACTTATGTACGCGCGAATTATTCAGCCGTACATAAGTTGCCATAATACCAATTCGTTTTTAATCACTGTAAACGAAGTTATTGCTGTTTTCAAAAGTTCTTGCCATTTTTTTCTGTAAAGAAAGTTCTTGTCATTTTTTGATTTGTAAAGAAAGTTCTTGCCATTTTTTGATTTGTAAAAAAAGTTCTTGCCATTTTAAAAAAAAAATCATTTTCAGAAGCTCCGTACCTATTTGAAGCCAACCGAATCCGTCTTGTACTATCAACAACCAGAGGAATACTTTACGATCGCTGACATTCCCCTGTCATACCCACTAATGTTTGCCTACATGTCATGTGAAGGTAAAATCTACAGTTACAGAGTAAAAGAGACGAAAGGAAGAGATGGTGCGAAGATGTGGCAAGTCTATGTTAAGGACAAGAACCTACCTGATCAGCCAGTGTAAGTGAAAAGAAAGTTTTCGTCGTTTTTCGGTTTGTAAAGAAAGTTCTTGCCATTTTTTTTTGTAAAGAAACTTCTTGCTATTTTTTGATCTGTAAAGAAAGTCTTTGCTATTTAAGATATTTTTTTCAGATTCAGATCCCTGGATGCCATGTTGAACTACTATCACACCTTTGCCATAATGTTCAAAGAAAACGGCCGAGTGGAGAGCTTCCCGATCCCAAATCATTAATACTATTCACCGTAACTGATAGCCAATAAATTAGTTTACTTTGATATATGGAGTTCTTTAAGGCGTATTTTACCTTTACCCTACCCTACCCTACACTACCCTACCCTACCCTACCCTACCCTACCCTACCCTACCCTACCCTACCCTACCCTACCCTACCCTACCCTACCCTACCCTACCTTACCCTACCCTACCCTACCCTACCCTACCCTACCCTACTCTACTCTTCCCTACCTGCACTAACTTACTCTACCCTACCCTACCCTACACTACCCTACCCTACCCTACCCTACCCTACCCTACCCTACCCTACCCTACCCCTACCCTACCCTACCCTACCCTACCCTACCCTACCCTACCCTACCCTACCCTACCCTACCCTACCTTACCCTACCCTACCCTACCCTACCCTACCCTACCCTACACTACCCTACCCTACCCTACCCTACCCTACCCTACCCTACCCTACCCTACCCTACCCTACCCTACCCTACTCTACTCTTCCCTACCTGCATTAACTTACTCTACCCTACCCTACCCTACACTACCCTACCCTACCCTACCTTACCCTACCCTACCCTACCCTACCCTACCCTACCCTACCCTACCCTACCCTACCCTACCCTACCCTACCCTACCCTACCCTACCCTACCCTATCCTACCCTACCCTACCCTACCCTACCCTACCCTACCCTACTACCCTACTTCATCTTGCCCTACCCTACCTTAGCCAAATCTAGCCCTACGCTAGCCATTTGCCTACTTCGGTCGTACCTTAGTCCTTACTATACCCTAGAACTAAGCCTTAAAAAGTGATGCAAATATGCATTAATGTAACCAAATTTCTACTATCCTTTTTTACCGTACTTTAGAACCCGGCCCTAACCATACCCTATAGACCCTACCAAACCCTGTCCTAGCCTTATCCTTGCAAATTTCTAAAACATCACTCCCTCTTAACACTACTATAAAAAGCGTCGATTTGAAATAAAAAATCAGCCTTTCCCCAAAAAACCTTTATCTGCCCTAAAAATATATCACATTCTTTAACAATATTTAAAATTTTAAAGTAACCTTCAATAAGCCAATGTCAAATTAAACAAGGCAAAAAAAGTATGCGTGACAAATGAGAGCCTATTTGTAAATAAACCTAGCATTGTATTACTAGCAGCTACTATTATATAATTTGTTTACCCATTTTTCATGAGAAAAACCCAAAAGCAAAAAGACGAAAATATACTAGATATATGTAAAAATTGTGCCTTACGTTCTAAAAGTAAAAAAGGCAATATGTAGGCTTCTTAAAGTATGTAAAAGAGAGAAAAAGTAATGGAGAGATTGATATTTGCACCTGGCAAATGCAGTAGAACTCTTGTACAACGAAACCTCGTAATAAAAGTAGATCATCTGTGTAACAACTAAGTTCAAAAAAAACCTCAACCCCTGCTAAAAACAAAAAAAATCTTTTTAACACCCACCCCCACTCCCCCCCCATTAACAAAGTGTCTGCTACTATGTATTAGGTGCCGATATAAATAACCCGCCATTTTTTACAGGAAATTACTGGAAAAGTATGGCGGGTTATTTATGTCGGCACGTAATATTTTTAAAAAAATCGCCCTAGCATTTACCTAGTCCTACTTTAAGCTTATAATACTTTTAATCTACCCTGCCTTACTCCAGAGTTTTGTCTTTCAGGCCCGGTCTGGTTCGGACAATCCGGATTTTTGAATTTATTTTTCCCGCCAAACTCATATCTCGAAAACTATTATAGATATCAAAAAAATAACAGCATCTAGAAGGGTCAGTATCATGCCAAATAGGAAGGGTGAGGGGAGTAGAAAAAGTTTCAGACCAATCCGACCGGTAGAAAAAAAAGCGCGGGAAAACAAAAATTAAAATTCCGGGCCTCGGTAGTTGATTCAGTCCGGAAAGAACTCTGACCCTCGTTCCCCCCCCCCCCCCTCTAACTCCAACTCTACACAGTCTTACTTTAACCCTAATGTAGATAAACTACTGATTAATCACCTTATTTAAAAAACAAAGAATGATAATGATTATACTTTACGTTACCCTACCCATAAATATTCATGCCAATTCCAACCCTATGTTATTCTAGCTTAGATAACCATACTCTACCCTTTCCTACTCTATTATACCCAAATCTAAAAAAAATACAAAACAAAGATTAATATGACCCAACCTGCCCTACTCTAACCTCGAAGACATCTAGAGTAAGATTGCCATACTCGCAGTAATTTGTTGGGTCGTTTTACATCAAGGCAAATATTACAAAAGTAAATAATATTACATAAGAAAACGTTGCGCAACACGATTTCTTGCAATTTACCTAAGGCTAGATCTTTACATCATCAGTTACATCATGTTATGAAAAACGTTACATAATGTTACAACATAAGTAATGTTATGTAATATAAAACTGGTAATATACACAAAATGAATCAAATATAAATTTTTTGAAAACTTCAACTTACTTCTGGAATAGGCAATCTTAAACGGCTCCATCCTGTTGTTCCAAACAATGATAAGGTAATAGATGTCCTACGTCCTTCTATGATTATAGGTCTACCAAATGTATGTCATTTCTTTGATATGTCAAATGGTCCCTGAAATGTTAATATATACATATACATATTAATGTTTACAAATGTCTACATGTAAAAAAAGATATATATTATACCTAAAAATACTAATATGTTAGACTGCTTGATGAATGATTTTAACCTTCCGGCGTACTTCCGGAAGTCTTCAAAGTTCTCAACCCCCTGAGCGTTCTTATTTTAAACAGCCTACCCTACCCTACGATGTCCTATTCTAACCATATTAATCTAATATAATATAAAATTCCAACTTAAATTGGAATAGCAAAGCGAACCTCCTCTCTTTGTGAGGACGCTAATAAGAATGTTAATATAAATGTGTCTTTGCTCCTTTCACACACAACACAGGTGTAACTCGTTTATTCTTCCAAAAAAGACAGAAAAAGACTAATGTCAATTTAAAAATGTATACTTGTCCATTTTTGGAACATTACATGTGAAAAATTTTAAATTTTTCTACTCTACCCTATAAACTAAAAAAAAATTTATTGAAAAAACAATTTTTACAGACAAAGACTTAAAAACGTACTTCAGGCTTAGTTGTTAAAAAATAATCCGTTTACTATGCGTATTTTACAATAATAAACATTGAACGCTATGGTATGTCTATTCTCAAAAAATAGCATCATTTAAAAAAACGTATGTGTCAAAATACTTAAGAAATGCATGAGTCAGCCCTATGTCTATTTTGAAAAAGAGGAATCTTGCAATTAAACACTATTTGCATAAGTTCTTCTTTACTCTCTGTGCTTAAAAAATAGGTGCTATAAATAGAGTTTAGTCTATGGTCATTTATTTTATTAAAGCTCAACCTGTCTGTAACAGTAACTTTAAGCCTAAACCTATACATCAGCCAAAGATTGCGTTTAATTTAAAGCTTAAACTTGAACAATTCATGAGCCTAAAACTGATCCTAACATTAATCCTAAGCTTAATCCAAAGCCAAAGCTTAAGCCTAAATGCAAACCTAATCCTAAGCCTAAGCCTAAGCCTAAGCCTAAGCCTAAGCCTAAGCCTAATCCAAAGCCAAAGCTTAAGCCTAAATGCAAACCTAATCCTAAGTCTAAGTCTAAGCCTGAGCCTAAGAGCCTAATCAACATATGCCAATAAACCAAAACATTACCACAATTTTCCCTTCTTCTCCAGTTTATCCGCAAAAAAGGTTAAATGACATGCCAGTTTTTTCTTGGCCATTCCTACTGAATGAAGATAATTAGAAAGAGCGTCGAACGTGCCAATCATGGCCATTATATGTACAAAGCAGTACGTAAATAAAAATTGTGTATCATGTTATAGATTTGGGAAATATATTTACGTACCATATTGTAATGCGTAAATATGTTTACTTTTGTTAAAATTTTGAGACGTCATAATGAAAATGACATTTCAGTCAGACATAACAACATTAATATACCTCTAGCTAAAAATGGGTTTTTATGTCAAAAAAAAACAATTTTTAAGCCTACAATAAGTTGTTTAGCCTAATAATGCGTCTTTTAAGCCCATAAATAAGTGATAATATATAAAAATGTTTTTTCAAGCCTAAAAACAATTTTTAAGCTTAAAATAAGCTATAATGCCTAAAAACTTGTTTCAGCCTGACAATTCTTTATTAAGACTGCTCAAAATGTTAGGCCTAACTTTTTTAATATTGTATTTTGTGTATGCTTTGCGTCTTCCCACAGTAATAAAGTGCAATTGCTCGTAAATATGCAAGTTTAACCATTTTGGAAACGTTTTAGAGGATTTCCGTTTAGTTTTGGGAGCGCCAGCGGCTAATCCACAAGCGCAAAACCTGCGAGATTGAGGTCTTGTTTTGAAACTAATAATACTTTTTTTTCAGTTTGAATTGTCTTGAAATTCTGTTTTGAATAAACATTTTTTAACATCAGTTCTCAAAAAGAACTTTCTATTTTTGTAAAAAAATGTTACTGCTTTTTATTTTTTTTGTACGTATGCAAAAATTTGCATAGAACGTTACATTTGTCATTGAGAAAACAAAGATGTTGTTATTTTTGTTTATTTTTCCTTTTCTTATTTTCTTTTCAACGCGCCGGTCTAATTGAACAATGAAAGTTGCCAGAAAAACTCGATCGCTGCGAAACACCGAAAGACATCGATCATCTTTAGAATAAGGGCGTCTTAGTTGCATAAGAACCTCAACGGTTTGCTATTTGTACCTGTGTGCTGTCAAGTTTGTCTCAAAATAAAGGCAACTTTTAAAAATCGTATCTACAGGGTGCGACAAAAGTCCTTGGACTAACTTTACCGGTCGATTTCTTTATGTTGTACGTGTATAGATGAAAAGAGTGTTGCAAAGTTTTTATGGGGTTTTTCTATAATTTCCTGTTTTAAAAACTTTTTACCAGTTTTCGTTT